TCGGGCCTCAATGGCCAGAACATGAACAATGCACTGAACAATTTCGGTGCCGGCCCGGAGACGCCGTCGTCGATGAATGGTAGTACTCATGGCACCTTACCCGTCTCGACAATCACTGATTCAACAAGACATGCCATCCTAGGTGCCCTGACGGCCTCCCCAGCTTCCCAGTTCGGAGCTCGAAGATACTCGTACGCGACAACCAGCTCCCCGTTGTCGACACAATCACCGACGACAGCCACCAGCACCGAGCTCGCTCACACCCTCCCGAATACCCACGATCTCCAACGATACGTCAGTGCTTATTTGCGATATTTCCACCCACATCTGCCGTTCCTCCACATACCGACGCTCTCCTTCGACGTTTCCACGCTTTCAGCCAACGGGCAGGACAATGGTATTGGCGGGAGCGGCTGCCTTCTCCTCTCGATGGCGGCTATCGGTGCCCTTTACGAGATGGAGCAGCAGATATCGATGGAGATGTTTGGTATGGCGAAAAAGATGATTCAATTATACCTTGACGAGAGAAGAAAAGCAAACGTAAGGAAGGCAGATTTCAGGCGACCTTCCATGTCGGAGCACACTTTACAGCAGCAGGAAAACCCGATCGATACGCCCGTCTGGCTTGTTCAAGCTATGCTCCTCAACGTTATTTATGGCCACAACTGCGGCGACAAGCGGTCCGGCGAAATTGCATCAACCCACGCTGCCGCGCTGGTAAGTCTGGCCCACGGAGCCGAGCTGCTGAACCCGATCAGGGTCGAACCCAGCGTCGGTGTCGATATGATGGATATGGATGGAAGCTGGAATGCGGCAGAGATGGAATGGCTCCGCTGGAAGTCTATGGAGGAGAGGAAGCGGACGCTCTATACCGTGTTTATTCTCTCTAGCCTCGTGGTATCCGCTTATAACCACACGCCAGCCTTGACCAACTCCGAAATCTTCCTCGACCTCCCATGTGATGAAGAGTTCTTTGCTGCGGACTCGAGTCAAATTTTCCATGCCAAGGGTGGCGTCGCGGCTGCAAACCACAACCGGATGACGTTTCACGAGGCTCTGGGGGCGCTCCTCCAGAGGCAGAAACTGGCTTCGGGGTTGGCGGACGGCAACGATTTTTCCAACAGTAACCTTCCGAAGCCAAGCACCTTTGGTTGTCTGATTCTCATCAATGCCCTGCACAATTACATCTGGGAAACTCGGCAACGCCATCATAATAAGGTATGGACGAATGAAGAGACAGAAAAAATGCATCGACATATTGAGCCTGCACTTCGCGCATGGAAAGCCGTATGGGAGAGCAATCCCCACCATAGCCCAGAGCGTCCGAATCCGTTTGGCAAGGGGCCGCTTGCTGCTGATGCCATCCCGCTGCTTGATCTTGCATATGTCCGCCTGTACGTCAATTTCTCTCGTGTCAAGGAGAAGTTTTGGCAGCGGGATTGGGATGGCATGGCGGAGGAGCTGGCTCGCGGCTCTGAGATCGTCCAACATGCCGAGCAGACCCCAATCGCCAGCAATCTTGCAGCAGAAAATGCGAGCACGACCCAGCCTGATCTGAGCCTCGACCAGTCGCCACTCGCAATTGCGAACAGCAGGTCCGATCCGCGGAGGGAACGCCATCTGAGAAAGGCAGGTTTCATTGCCGCTGACTCGTTGCTTACTGCGGACAAGTTCAATGTAACGTTTGCCGATGCAACTGTTCGCGAGCTGCCTGTGCAGTCAGCAATCTGCACGTTTGATTGCGCGCAGGTGCTGGCTGAGTGGGTTGCCACTTTGCAAGACCGCGTTGGGCGATACCTGGGGATTCTCGGCCAAGACGATATGGATTTGAAAGAGGTACCCGCAGTGGTTCTGCTGGAAGACGACGACATCAAGCTGCTGGGCAAGATCCAGGAGATTATCCAACGGGCGGAGTTGAAGATGAATGCGGGCCAGACGTCTCATGGCGACGGTGTCAGAAACTGTGCCAATGGCATGCAGCGGGATGATCATGTGGGTTATGCGGCAAAGATACTGCGGATCACGGCGTATCTGATTGAGAAGGGCGCTGTGTGGCCGGGTAAGTTTTCGGTTTTCCTGAGGCATCTTTGGAGAGCGCAATATCTAATCAAGTCTGCTAGTAACCCGCTTGATCTCCTCATGTCTCGAAACCCACGCAAATCATATGCGCGCCCGTGCCGAGAAGTCCGTTACAGCGATGGAATAAATCGTTGACATTCTTCATGTTCATTGCGAATACCTTTCCGACATACGTGCCGACATGCGTGTCAGCGCCTTTATCTTCAAGAATACGGGAGCAACTATATCTACTTGGACATCTCAACAAAGACACAACTTATGGTTAACAGGACGAAAACGAGTTAGTCGAATCTGGGAGACGTTCTGGGAGGCCTTACAGGCCTAGGATGGAAACGGGCTGGAACTGGGGAATTTTGGAGGCTTAACGGATGACATTTTGATGATGATTTTTTCTCCAAGAGAGAGATTTTTTAACGAGGCGATGACGGCGTTTGGGTTTGGGTTTGGTTTGGTTTGGTTTGGTCTTGATCTTGTGGCTATATGACACTCTCTGACTCTGGCTTTTCTTTTTTTTTTTTTTTTGGGGGGGGGGGGGGGGGGGGGAGGATTAGGTTTCGTGTACAATTCTTCCTGTGCATGTATTATTTGACGACGCGTTGAGGTTACCGCACGATCAAGCGAATCTGTGGGTTATGTTTTACTTTTTTTTTTTTCCATGTCCTTTTGAAGATCGCAGGACTTTCCATCTTGATTGAGAACGGTGCGGTGTTTTTGTGTTGTTTTTGTGAGATGAAGTGTGATGAAGTGAAGGACCATGAATGTGTGGAATGTATGGGTGGGCCTATCTAGTCTATCTATCTGGTTTGGGTAGAACAGTGAGAACTACCTTTATGGTAGACGAGTGAGCGAGCGATAAGAAGGCAAGGCAAGAAAGACGGTATTGAGTGATGCTGCTTCCGGCATTTCTCAGCGGGGAGTGAAGACTGGAAAATGTGTGGGGTGAAGATACAGAGACGAAAATATTAGGAAAAGGAGAGGGGGAAGGAGAAGAAAACGAAACTAAGAAAGGGCATGAAATGAAAGGAAATGAAACAAAACGAAACGAAACGAAACGAAGGTCTTTACCCTTGTGGTTGGTTACCTTGGAACATACTCACTCCAGCGTCATCTCAGCTCAGCTTTCGCCTTTCGAGTTTCGTTCTTCGAGTCTTCGTTCTCTGAAAAAACCACACCAGTACTGCCATGTTCACCTTTTTACGACAAGTCACTAACATGGAAGCTAGGGTTCGGTGTCGAGACTGTACATCTTGACTGACGGACAGTATCGCACGCACCGTTGGGAGGATTCTCTGAATTTCTGCTGCGCGGCCGTGGATATGATGGAGATGGAAGATGGACAAGATGAAGATGATGAAGATGAATATGGCATGGCACTTTGATAAAGGGTAGAAGATGAAAATCCAATTTTTCATGGTTCTTTGTGTTCATGTGGTGTGTGTGTGTGTGTGCTTTTTGTGCACTACCACCATACTGCGTTTTGGTGATGTTGCTGCTACTTGGTGAGATTTCAAGCCTGGATGAGGTGAGTAGAACGTATTTCATAACCTCTTTTTGACACTCCCGGATTGATTGATCAATAAACCAGCTCAGCTGCCGTCTGCGGATTTCGTCTGTTGGAGTTGTGTTGGGCTGAGCTGGTGGTGAACTGGTGATGTTTCAAAGGAGCATGGTTAGTAGTATATCTTTTCTTTGCTTTCCCGATCAGTCGTCAGTCGTCGGTCGTCAACCAACCAACCAACCAACCAACCAGACACAAGAGTCGAGAATTGAGACTGGACAGCTATACTGATGATACTTTGGTCTGTCTGTTAATAGCCGAGGTAAATTTCTTCCAGCTTCAACTTCCCGTACCTCACTGAAGGCAAACCAACTCGGCTTATTTTTATTTTTATTTATTATTTTGCCTACTGCCTACTACCGCCCCCAATAGGCCGGCCGCATCACGTCAGTATCAGCGTCAGCGCCATCAGATTAAACTCCCGCTGCACGTCACGGGACGACTACGTACTACATACAACCAGCCCCTTAACTGGTCCGTTTGTTGTTAGTCCGAGACTTTGGGTTAACCTTCCCACCTGCTTACTCACCTGCTTACTGGTAAGGCGTTTATATATCTAGGTAACTGATCCGTTTCGTTTCTGTAACTAAACCATGGCGAGAATTTACCTCGAATATTCAGGTAGCCGTCACGTATGTTTTGTCCTTGTGGGTAAGAGTTGGAACAGTTTTGGAAGTTTGGGATAGAGCGAGCTTGTCCAGTAAGTATATTACACTAGACTAGGAGTACCGACAGGAGCTAACAAACCACTTAACATTAGATTGTATTTCACGCCTCTCTCTCTTACTTCTTCGCTGACAGTACCTTTGTTTGCCTTTGCCTCCAGTCCGTCTTTTTTTTCTCAGGTCTCAACCGCCTCGCTCGTACCCTCGCTCCTTGATACCAATCAAAGCCCGATTATCAAACTTCACAACGAAACGAGGGAGCACGACAGCACGACAGCACGACAGTTATGAACGGATGTTTATGAATGTTTATGGTGGGTATCATTTTTTCTACACCATGCAATGCCCTCAAGGCCCTCCTCTATGCATGCATCTCTACATATCCTGTCCTATCCTTCCTATCCTCTATCACCCATCCATCCATCCCGTCTATAATATAGCTGGTCTAGTGAAGTCTAATAGCTCCTAGGTCTACAAGAGTTGCGATTCTCTTTTTGTCTTCTTTCTTTCTTCTCCGGCGAGAGGGAGGGTCTGTTGAAGCCCCGTCCCCGTTCTTCCTTTTGTTTTCCTTCTCTTCAACACCACTTTTGCACGCCATTGAGCAGCAAGCTCCATAGCGACATCCAGTCACCACCACATTGCTACGCTACCACGATAGTGCCGCAAAGCAGCACCACCTGCAGTATACAACCACACGCTTACTGAGTACCCTGCACGGTATGCGCCCAGACGAGGGCGCCGGGAACCTTGGGGTCCGGAACGACGAACTTGCAGGTGGTGAAGCTGTGCCAGAGCTGGCCCATGAAGGAGCGGTCGTCGCGGTGGTAGAGGGGGCCGAGCATAGGGCGGATCGAGTTGGTGGCTTCTTCGGCGTAGTAGAAGGGGATGCGACTGGTTTCTGAGCGTTAGCGAGATTTCGAGAGAACGAGACGAGTGAGCGGAGCGAGGATTTGGATGGGAAAGGAAAGGGTTGAATGTGTGACAGGGCACACCACCAACACTTCCAGGAATGTGGAATCAGAACAGCAACCGGGCCTTCAACTTACGGGAACAAGTGGTGAACGACGTGGTGGTCGATAATGTTGTGGAAGAGGTGCTTGCCAATGAAGCCGAAATCGCGGTCGACGGTGGCGAGAGCGCCCTTGACGAAGGTCCAAGAGTCGGCGTCGAAGTGGTGGACCTCCTCGTGGGTGTGGTGGAGGTAGGTGATGGCGACTGTTTTGCAAGCAACCGTTAGCACTTGACTCCAGAAACATCAGGAATTCAAAAGATAACTTACCCAGCCAGTGGTGAACCCAGAAGTACTGCTGGAAGTACAGCAGACCAACCATCTGCCAGCCAACGACCTGGGCGGCCGAGTAAAGGATATAGCCCATGATCATGAGACCGAGATCGGAAAGAGCGATATAGATGGCCTCAGAGTTGCGGAAAACAGCAGAGGTAGGCTCAAAGTGGCTCACCCTCAACCAGCCCATGCCGCCCTTGCCAGTCTCCCACTGCTTGCTAGCCTTGCCGGCAGACACGTTGAAGAGGAGGTACATCTGCCAGCCAGCAAGCTGGTGGGCAATGAGCTTGACGAGCTGGACAATGGGCACATCCTCAAACATCTCGGCGGTCTCCTTGTCCATGTACAAGTTGGCCAGCTTCCTCTGGTTGCGATCAGCGGCGGTGGCGGGGACGAAGGCCATGTCCTTCTCCATGTGGCCAGTGAAGCGATGGTGGCGGTGATGGCTGAACTTCCAGCTGAAGTAGGGGACCAAAAGGAAGGAGTGGCCGATCCAGCCGATCACGTTGTTGAACCACACGTGCCTGGAAAAGGCGCCGTGGCCGCACTCGTGCGCAAGAATCCAGATGCCGGTGCAGATCAGGCCCTGGAGGTAGCCGTACGCAGCCCAGGCGCCGTAGCGGAGAGGGGTGGAGGCGATCTGGGGGATGTACTGCCAGGCGAGGTAGCCGAGGCCAAAGGCCATGGCGAAGTCGCGGAAGAAGTAGGACATGGAGATCCAGACGCGGGGGCGGAAGCAGTGGTCGGGGATGGCGTCGCGGATGGTCTTGATGTCGGGGTATTCGATGGCCTCCGAGGTCTTCTCGCTGGTGACGGAAGAAGCAGAGGAGAAGTCGGAGCCGGAGGTGGTGGCGGAGACGACCTCGGGCTCGGCCGTGGCCTTGTGGCTGCGGGTGGTGACGGTCATTTTGAGTGATGTGATGCTGTTCTTGAAGATATCAAGAACTGACTGGAAGAGGAAGGAAGAGAAGAAGAGGAGGAGGAGGGTGGTGTGAAAGACCTGAGACCTGCGAGGTTCAACTTCACACTCGACACACCTCTTTCAGGAAAAGAAATTGGTGATGGGAGGGAGGAAAAAGGAAGAAGCTCGGGAGAAAAAAAGAGAGGGGAGAAAAGGGAAAGAAGAGTCGGGGACAGGACGGCCAAAAGGGTGGATTGGGTTCGATGGGACGGAAAAAAAAGTTATGGGTCTGTTACTGCGAAGCTAGTCTAGTCTATCTAATCAGTAAATCTGCGTGTGTCCAGACAACAGACACATCAGTGCAGGCATTGCGCTAGTAAGTCGACCCTGCACGGCCCCCGACATTCGGCGGACTCCTTTTTTCCTCTCCTTTTTTTCTTGTCCAGGCAACGAAGCATGTGCGCATTCATCCATGCGTTGGTTTGGAGTGTTCTTGCCCTCTCTCTTTTTTTGACCTTTTTGCCGTTCTTGCAGTTGTTGGCTCGAACTTTTTTTGGGACTCCATTTTCTGGGGTCCTTTCTTCTCTTCCCCTCACTAACAGGGGACTAGGTGGCTTCCCTTTTTCTTCAGGGGCCCCCAGACAGACCCAGACACTGCAGTGGGAGAAGGTAGAGGTATCCACAAGGCGAAAATGCTTAGCGCAGTTTATTTCCTGACACTGATCAACCGACACCCAACGAAGCGAGGGAAGCGGGTTCGGGCAGGAGGGTCCGAATTCGGGAGAGGACGGGCGAGACGGGCTGGAACGAGGGAAGGAGGCGGTTTGAGGATTGACTGGGGAGTGGGATGGATTGATGGCGACTTTCTGTGAAAAAGGGAGACGAAGGGGTAACGAAATGCTTGTGATTCTGGTCAGGATTATGACACTGCGGTGAGGATTAGGAGAGTCGGTTACGAGGCGAGAGTTGGCACTGCCATTGCCAATGCATTGTTGGTCGATCTTGCAAGTCTGCTGTTTGCTCCTGGGCGAATGCATCTGAGGTTTCATGAAGATTGAAAATGCCAACATGCCGCGGTGTGAAAGCCAGTTGGTGATAAGATAAAACACCCACCCGACCAACTGTCCCTCGGCTTTCTTCCACTTCTTCCACTTCTTTCGTTCCACAAGCTCCAGTTCTTTGCACACTTTATTTCAGCTTCCCCGGATATTCTGCACCACCGTTGAACCTTTCACTTTCCACTTGTCTCACACCTCTCAGCTTCTCGAATCTCTCTGTTGTCAAACTCAGGGCGACCATCAATTCCCAAACAAGAACACTGCCTGCAAAGACTTGGGGTTTCCAATTGCAGTTGCCAGCCTGCCATTGCCTGCCAGATAGGCTCACCGCCCAAATCTGAACCAATGAGAACTGGCTGCCCCTGCCTAGCTCATGCACAAAGGGTCTTGGCTTCTGCTTGCAATCTGAGCTTTCTCATTGGTCAGTCCAAGCAGAGCCTAACGCCAGGAAAAGGGTCCTCGAGTTGCCAGCCGGCAAGAGTCGTCGAGGGGCAGGCATCTCGAACTGCGGACACTGGAGCAAAGCCCCACCGAGTTTCACAACAAAAATGGGTCGCGGTCGGGTTGGCGTGTCAACTCACTCTCAAAGAAACCTCACTTCTCTCAAAGCGGCAAGACCCAAAGCTCGAACCAAGGTCCACGACCAAGGCCCAAATCTTCAAATGCACGTGCAACTGCAACCACTGCAACCACTGCAACCACTGCAACCACAAGCACGACAACAATCCCAAGTGGGTCAACCAATAAGCCAAGTGCAGCCTAAAACCTCAACACTTTTCGGCGACGTTTCAGTTGGATTGACGTTATCCGTCGTTCACGCTGAGAGCTCGATATCAACAATCTCTTACCACTTTCGTGAATGGTGCATGCCGCCGCTGCCTAACTTGTCGCGTAGCACTCAGCCGACCCGGCTGCCACCTTTCCAACAGTGGATCCCATTCCTGCACGCTCGTAGCCATCCCTCGCACGCTCGTTAGCCATCCATTCCTCGCACGGCACGTCACTCCCATCTCAATACTCTTCCCCGGACATATAACCAAGGCCTCGCCCTCCTCCCCATTCTCATCGCCATGGCCCACACTCAAGCTCAAACAGCGGACCAAAGGGCCCTCCCATCACCGGCATCAAATCATCAAGGGAAGTACTTGTTCTTTGCAGCGCCAAACGACCTCTCCCACTAACGCTTGCAGGAAATTGCCTACGTCTAACTAAGGCGCCGTCTATCCAGAGCAAAAGTCGCAAGCGCAAGCACCCAGGAGACCCAGGCCCAAGCCCACAGCGGACTCGCCCTCCAGAAGACGCATTTGGCGAGCCAGCGATTGGCACTGACCCGGTTGCTTTCTGGGTAAAGGAAGGGCGCTGGCCAAAGGAGCAGGACTGGCCGGAAGAGACAACGACGCATTCTACCATGGATCGTCTACCACTTGCGCGAAAGAGAGCCTCGTTCAATCTGTTCCGGAAGCGATCGAACTCTGCTACATCTACGACGCCCAGTGAGCAGACGCCCAGTGGCCAGACGCCCAGTGGCCAGACGCACAATGACCAGTCGCCCAGTGACCAGACGCCCAGTAACCAGACGCCCAGTGACCAGAAGCCGCGGGAGCAGAAGAGCGCGCCATACCGAGACCAGCGTTATGAGACCCTGCTCAAGGTCAAAGGCAGCTACATGACCAAAGCTCCAGCTCCACTAGGCATAGACAGCGCCAGCCAGGCTCTTTGTCGGTCTCTCCTGAAGACGACCCAGCCAGTTCCCGGCGATACACTTTTCCGTGACGATCTCTTTGAAACGACATGCCAGAAGATATACAACCAAAATGAGGCGCGAATCATCCAAGACATCAGTCGCCTCATTGTTTCTTCAGCTGAAAGTCTTGCGACATTCGGTGCAAAACACCTTGACATCCTGATAGAGAGCGTTAACGCAGGGTGGAATAGTTCGATTCTTTTTATTGGAATCCGTCCACAACCTGACTACTCCGTTGGATTCAAACAAGACGCATTCACTGAAGATCAACTCGCCAAATTATCGCCATTTATTGGCGACCCCTGCGAGGACCAATCTTACTTCATGGCTACGCACTATATGTGCTTCCCGTTCCTAACTTGCGAGGTGAAGGGTAGCACAACGGGGCTCGTTATCGCAGATCGGCAGAACGCCCATAGTATGACCCTTGCAGTACACAAGGTATTGTCGAACTCTTCCGTATTATTAAGCGCGAGGATGAAATTAACCGGAAGATCCTCGCCTTTTCCATTTCGCATGATTATTCTTCGGTCCGGATTTACGGCCACTACCCGGTAATAACCGGCGAAAATACTAAATACTACCGCCATCCGATCCATATTTTTGACATCGCTGCGCTTGATGGAAAGGACAAATGGACAGCGTACCAATTCACCAAGAACGTCTACGACACCTGGATGCCCAAGCATTTCGAAAACATCTGTTCTGCCATCGATCAATTGCCGACGGACTTGAACTTTGATGTCCCACCGCTTGCCCAGGATTTGGGGACCTTGGTGCAGCAGCCGGATGCCAGCGGCGCTTCTTTGCCTGACGAGGGGGGCAGCGAGTGCCAGTCAAGCAATGCCGGGCAGCAGCAGGCGGTCATTCCAGGTACCTCATTCAGTAAGCCGAAGAGGAGGAAAGGATACGGGGCCGGAAGGCCGTGATGTGTTGTGTTGGCGGGCTTACCATAGCTAGATAGTATAGGATTTTTCAATTGACCGTCATCATCTTCATTCACACCTTGGCTACCTACTACTTTCGCTTCTTGCAAAGGTTTGTAGCGTGTGTGCGTGCGTCGGTATATCAAAAATCTTCAAAAATCTCAAATGCTGCTGCTCTCTCCGTCATGTTTTAGGTACCGAACTCCCCCTCCTTGGTGGCATCAAGCATGCATGGCATCAATCCCGTCCGGAGCCCGAGTCCCGACAGACTGGCACCAGACAGGCACAGCGCCGGAATTTATCAAACACAAAGTATGTAGGTGGACGGCTGGCTGGCGTGGCGTGGCGTGGCGAGGAAGGGAAGGGAGGGGAAAAGAATTGTTCGCGCGCATATATATGTATCATATGTATGTACAAATCTTGCGTGTGAAAATATCCTATGGTAAGGTAAGGAAGGTAGTCTCCCTGTCTCCTTTAGCTCGCTAGAAATCTGTGCATGTAGATAGATTTGTAGTAGTAATACGTCCAAGACTCCAAGTAGGTACGTTCACATTGGAGTTGGAGGTTGGTGGGAGTAAATAATGGGTTTGTAGGTAGGCAGGTATTTGATGGGTTGCTGAATGGATACCTAGATCATTGCATCTCTTCTTGTTGTGCTATGCTATGCTATGCTATGCTATGCTATGTGATGTGACGTTGCTTTTCCTAAGGTTGTATCTCCGTATCTTCTACCGATGCGGCTTCAGGTCTTCAATCGCTTATTAGACAAACCTACGACTACGACTACGACTACGACTATGACGATGACGATGACGACGTCCCCTGTCCCCTTTCCTACTGGGTCATCGAGATGTCTCCATCTCCGTCACCGTCTGCATCATCACCTTGATGTTGACTCGTAGCCAGAGCCTCGCCAGTGCCAGTGCCAGTGCCAGCTAACTCAGCTTTTCCCACCAACTCATCCATGGCCCCCTGCTTCCCATCCCCTGCTCCTGCTCCTGCTCCTCCTCCATCTACTGGTCCCGCCAGCTCATCAGGTTCATGTTGAACTTGAACCAAATTAGCCTCCTCCGAGTCATCAACCTCCACCACCTTCGCCATGTTCTTCCTCGGCCTTCCCCTCTTCGGCTTCGCTTTTAGCAAAACCTCCAGTCGCTGCTGCTGCTGAACAGGTTGAGGAGCACCATTCACGTCTGACACGACCTGTTGATGTTGAGCCTGAGTTTCCCGCTCCCAAGGAACAGACACCTCCGACCCCGCTTCGGAAACAGTACCACCAGTACCAGTACCAGCCATTTTCATCTCCTCATCATGATCCTGCCCATGCCCAGCAGCAGCAACGGAATTTTCAGCCAAGTACTGAAGCGTAAAATCCCCCCAGTCCCTTCCGCCCGTCTTCTCCACCAGGAAGGGGTTAAGTTCTCCTCTAAACCACCGCTCTTTGCGCTTGACACTCCTCTCTCCGCCTTCCAGCGCTGATAGTGCGGCGCGGGTTGTGCGCATCCTTTTTGTTCCTGTTCCTGATCCTCCCCCGTTGTTTGGCACCGTGCCTCCTCCGTCTGCGTTATTCGTGCCAACACCTTCGCTTACACTGAGCAAACTACTCATTTTCAGTCGTCTCCTCTGCAGACTCGATTCGTAGGCGACGATACTCCGCACGTAAGGGGCAACGTCTAGCGTGATGAGGGTCGTGGTGCGGTCGAAGACGGAGTGGTCGAGGTAGGCTGCTGTAGAAGAGTCTGAGGTGGCGATGGGGTCGAAGGCGAAGGCGAGGTCGATTCGCTTGATGGCCGGTTGTTCGGGAGCGGAGAGGGAGAGGGAGTTGAAAGACTTTGTGATTAGGCCGAGGGCAAAGGATTCGTTTAGTGGCTGGAGGGTATCAGTGGGTGTGGGCTGTTGTGTGAGCGCGGAGGTGCGCGACCGTAAAACGGAGCGAGAGAGCGATTTGATGGTTGTCGGGAGAGCAGTGGTAAGGGAGTAATGAAGTGTAAGAAGGGGCGAGTCGAGTGGCGTTAGACCGAGGACGAAGTCGTCGCGGGCTTTAGCTGGGAGCTCGGGAGTTGTGGCGTCAAGTGGCTCCTGCAATTTTATGGTTAGCGGATGCAAAGTAGTCGGAGCTTGATTCACTTACCTCGTTCAGTGTCCCAAACGACCGAGAAGAGCATAAATCCGCCGCACTGAGGGCATCAGCCAGTTCCTCAAACGCCTCAAGAGCCTCAAGCTTTCCAGCCCCAGAAGAAGGCATCCCGTCCGCCCATGATTCCAGTCCAACAGAGTCTTGCCAGCTCCCCATATCGAGACCCCAGGAATCCCAAGCCTGCTCCAGGATCTCTTCCTCCACCTGCCGTCCATCGGTAGCCTTATCCACCACTGTGTCTCGTCCGAGCCAGTTCATACCCGTGAGATACGTGCTTTGACTGACAACCCTCACCACATCTCGGTTCTCATCAAGATCACAACCCCTCGGCCACCTCGGGTAGTACCATTCAAAGCCCCCCTTCCTGTCACCGACGCCTATCTGGCACCAGTACTGCAGATCCGTGGTGGCGGCGCGGAGGTCATGACCGCGAGACTCATACAGAGATGCGACTGCTTGTCGTGTGAGAGCGTGACCTTCGTTAGCTGCTACCAATAACAAACGATCAACTGCCAGCTCTGTAGGTGGTGGGCTTAGTCGGAAGATACCGTGTAGTTTTAGGGTATGGAGGGGCAGCAGAGTCTCATCATTGCATGTCATGACGAATGGTCGTTTGGCTTGCGCTATGAGGGTGACAATGGTTGTCCAGAATTGCTTGTCTTCTTCGTAGAGAATGTCAACTTCTTCAAGGAGAATCAGGGACTGCCTTTGGGCCTTTCCGCTATCTTTCTTGACCTCTTTTGGCGCGCTGGTAGGTGGTGGCTTAGTAGGCTGCTTCGGTTTTGCTGCGGTGGTCTTGGGCTGGAAAAAGGCATTCATAGTTGCCTGCTTGCCGGATTTGACTTCCTCTGCAGTAGCATCTTCTTGATCGTCGCCAGCTTTGTCGGAGGAGTAGGATTGGTGCTGCTGGACGAGATGATTCCTGGTCATGTCGCCGATCTTTTCGAGCACATCCTTCCCGCTCCTTCGGCTGCTCGAGTTGATCTCGAAGACCTCAAAGTCAAGTTCTTTGGCTACTGCGTAAACGGCAGCTGTTTTGCCGCAACCATGAGGACCGCTAAGAATAAGTGTGTTGGCGATTTTGGAGGCATCTTTCTCGGACAGGTCCGTGGATTTGACAACAGTTTTCCTTGTGATGCCGCGAAAACCACTGGGGGTACAGTCGACTCCATCGTCCGAGTCAGAGTCGACCACGAAGTCGTCATCGCTATAGACAATAAAGTCGTCCAGCCTTTTCCTTCTCTTTTTTCTACCAGGGCCAACAGCCCTGCCTTTCTTTGGTTTGTCGGAGTCGATCGAGCCGGTTTCCACTGATTGTACCTTCAGTGCATGGAGCCAGTCTCTCAAAAAGGAAGGCTTCATTTCCGGGCTGCAACACCTCATAAGCGTTAATAGGACCGTACTTTTGCGCCCAGTTGCTGGTTTCGCACTGAGACTGGTCAAACGCTGATAGGGAGGAGGATACAGAGTCGTAAAGGCGGGCAAGTTGAGGAGGTGCTTTCAGTTGGCCAGTCGCTTTCGTCGGCTTGAATGTCCTGAGTTCAGGCAAAATGCGCTGCTGTAGTTTTCTCCCGCTCTCGAAGTGCTTAGTGGGAAGTCGTAGCTCGGGGGGTGCAGGTATGAAATCGTTCGTATTGAAGTCGCGAAGTGCTTGTTTTACAGACTCGATTCCAATTGACATGCTAACCAGATTCACAATTGATTCTGCCTGGTCCACCTTGACTGACTGACCCTTGGATTTGCGAGATGGGAAAGGCAGTTGAATGTCCTGGAGCATTGGCTCATCTTCTCCCCGAACATGCACCATATCCTTCCACGGCCATACTGGGGGTTTTGCACCAGGGAACTTCAGGGGCACGTTGTTCTTGTTGAAGCCGAACTGGGGCATTCGTCCAGTGAAAGCCGTTGCTCGAGGTTTCTTTGGCGAGAATGGTGTAGACATGAAGACTTTCTGCGATGGTTCGCTAGGCTTGTTGTTCTTGGGTTCGGAAGGAGGGGGCGCAGCTGAAGACCCCTTGGCCTTCCCCGAGAAGAAGGGGTGTGTAGATTTTGAATTGGCGGGCTTGGACGCTGGAGGTTTCTTGGTCTCGGCAGATTTCTTGTTTCGCTGGTTGGCTGTTTGTGGTTGTTTTGGCGCTTTGAGAATAGCTTCGATCTTCTCGCCAACTCTAGTCCGTGTCTCGTCATCCGATTCGGAACTATACTTAATAGTAACGAGCTTGGACTCTGGCTTCTTTACGCGTGATGGTTGTACCCTCTTCTTCACTGTCGGAACTGATTCTTCGGTCAGCTCTTGTTGTTTCGGTTTCGGGGGTGACCCAATGGTTCCTGTTTTGGGATTGAATCGGAGAAGTTTCGTCGGCTTTGGGGGCTCAACATTGACAGCTGGAGGCGGCGGAGATGATCGGATGTTAACGTCGACCAGATTCCTTATGATGCCACTAACATCATGTGCTGGAGCCGGTATGGCGTCCTCGACCTCGACGTGACCTTCCATCCCAGTTGTGTCTTGTTGTGGTAGCTCTGACTCTTGCTGTTGTGGTTCTGCCTCTTGTTGCGTGGTTGTGATACCCCCTTCTTCCTGTTGTCCAGCATCGTCGTCCTTTGCCTTTCCCAATCTGACAAAATGGTTCAAGATTCCGGCGCCAACATTGGGCTTTGTCCGCTTCCTCGTCTTTGGTTTCTTCTGTTCTTCGTCATCTTCTAGCTCGGGTGACACCTTGCGGCGCTTACTCCGTCTCCCAGATGCCTTCTCCAGGGTATCATCCTCGACTTTCGGCTCAGCAGGTTCATCGATGGACATTATAGAATCCTCGGTCGCGTCTGGTTGATCGGGAACAGTAGGGGGTTCTATCGAAGCTGTAGGAGCAGGCTGTCGGTTCGGAGTGAAGAAGGGATGCAATGGCTTGCGAGCCGTCTCTGGAGAGTTGCCATTTTCGACCATGGCGAGGACGGCGACTGGTGTCATAGATGTGGGAACTGTTGACACTTTCGTTAATTCGTTAATCTCTGTAGCCGCTCTGAGTTATACAGACAGGAATCGTCATGGAGGAAATAGGAAGGGGGGCATACTGAAAAAGAAAAAAAAGAAAAAAGACGACTACCAGACACAGATCATGCTTATAAGTGGTGGTGGCAGTAAAGGTTAACGATGAGCAATGATGCGGTTCAAAATCGGTTCAGAATCACAAATATCAATCGCGAAACTTTGATGTGTTTAGAAAAGAAGCTGCAATGTCGAATTCAAGCGGAAAAGCGCATCAGGCTGATGTGCATCGGTTGCAATGGATGTTGAAAGTCCAGTCGCGGCAATGCTCCAGGTTGCCAGGGCCATTTCAGTGATGTTAAGGGTGACCGCGTTCTAACACTTTAGCACGCGTCTTGCACTGGAGCTCTTCGGGCTGGAGTCCCTTGCCGGCCGCATGCTTCCCCAAAGTCGTGTCGCACTCGCGCGCCCTTTCGGGTCTGCCCCACCAGACAAGATGTTCACCGAGAATTTGGTTTGCAAGAGCAGCCTTATCGTTTCGACTTATCAAGCTCACCTTGGGCTCACCGTTCCCGTCTCTGTCCCAGAAAGAGCCAAGCAACGCCCCACTTCACGTCCACGGTTGAGGCCCCCACTTAATTTTCAAAGTCTTGGCATAACTTTTTTTCAGATCGCAGTTCTTCTTTGGACGAGTCGCAGTCCCGCGCAGAGACCGCATCAGAGCTTCAGTTTGGATTTCGAGATTCAGTTGGGGACCCGGACATGTCAATACAGTAACACGCCAAACCTCCAACTCCCCTGATACTTCACGATACCTACCCCGTATTGTTTGCTATTACTGTTTGTCTTCCTTAAAGCGCATACGATATAACACAACAACAACAAAGTCACCATGGCGACCACCCTCCAAATACACAAGCCGTATGTGCTGAAGGCGCTGTCGCATCCTCTCGGCCGTCCCGACGGACCAGGAAAACACACTGTCGGCGAGGTCTATGGTCAGGTGTCAGGACCTGGATCCAAGAAGAGGAAACGCTCAGAGCTTGCCGTTGCCATTGACGGCGACTCGGTCCATCTCTACGATGTCAGTCTACTACTGGATATAGCATGGCCCTGGTGATGTCGCCTAGTAACTAACCCATTGTCCAGATCCCCTCGGCGCAAGCCATCACATCTTACCTCGTCCCTCCCCAGGCCTACTTCACCTGCGCCCCCTACTCCCTGCGATGGAGATCCTCTACTTCCAAGACCGCCTCTCGCTACACCTATGCCTCGACACAAGATTCTCTCTCGGCCAAGAAGGAGATCAAGCTGTTCAAGGATGTTGTCGCCGAAGCTGGAAACACCACCTCGACCACTGCCACCCACATCCACCGTTGCGCTAAGCCCATCGTCCATATTTCCGCCACCTCAGTACGGACCTCCAGAGACACCTTGACAAACCAAGATACCCCCGCCCACGACCTCATCGCCGTGTCCGCCGACGGCACTCTGATCAGCCTCGCCGGCGAGTCCCTTACCGAGAAGTGGCAGTCGTCGCCATCCATCCTCACCCAGGAGCTGCCCTCCAACGCTGGCTGCCATGTCGACTTTGTCCAGCCTGCCCTCGCGGCCGATGTTATCGATGGCATGTTTGGTGGAAAGAACGAGCTGTTCGGTGTCTTCCAGGAAAAGATTCACCGTCAAGGTTTCAACCCCGACATTCTTGTCCTCGTCACGTCGCCAGAAAAGTCCGAGTTTACACGCCAAAGATATTTGCACATTCTTGCCCTACCGACCGAGAGGGCCTCTCAACAAGTCAACCAGCAGAATGTCATTCCCATCTTCGCCGCTCCTCTTCCCACCAAGACCGGTGCCGCCAAGTTCCAGCTCGATGTTAGGTCGGGCACTCTGCAGGAGTTGTCCGAGGGCGTTCTTTACACATATGCTTTCAACGGCGGTATTCCCCGTCTCGAGAACAAGCTGGAGGTTCCTGAAATGGCCTCCTTCTTGCGCCTGTCCAAGACCTCAGTCCTTGCCGCCACCACCGACTCCCTTACCGTCTACAACCCCGTCTACCGCTCGCTCCAGGCTACTGCTCCCCTTGAAGTTGAAGAGGGCATTTCGTGCGAGCTTGTCACCTACCTTCCTAGCCGTGAGATCGCCGTTGGCCTTCGCGGAACCTCCTTGATCGCCGTCCAGATCGAAGCCCCCAAGACCCGCACCAGCAAGCGCCGCGCCGAAGGCCTCCTCGCCGATTCCATCCGCCGCGGCCTGCCCAGAGCTCAGCCTACCCAGAAGCGTGGCTACGTCGAGCTGCCTCCTTCGGCTATCCTTGCTGAGGCTCTCCCTGGCACCATGACCGAGGAGTACCTTGCCCAACTTGCGGCCGATACCGCCAAGGCTGACGAGTACCTGAACGCCAACAACCTGAAGGAGTTCGAGGAACTGCTGGCGGCCCAGTTCAAGATCCAGCTGAAGGCCAAGAAGGAGAAGAAGGATAAGAAGGACAAGGTCAATGGTGCTACCGAAGACAAGACCGAGACCTCGGACCTGCCCGAGTGGTCTTGGCCCTCCAAGCGCTCTGACTACCCTCAGGTCGACCGGCGCTGGGTCTTTTACGCCATCAGCCGCGTGTTTGCCTGGACCAACTCGAGCGAAAACCCCAAGGCCACCCACCTTTCCTGCCGCCTTGCCGAGAGCAGCGTGCTTAATTATCTTGTTGATGCCGGCCACCTGACCATCTCCAATATCAAGTCCGCCTTCAAGGAGGAGATCCGCGAGCTCGGTGACCAAATCGACAACGTCATCGGCGAGGAGCTTCCGGCCGTCCTTGTCGAAGTCGATCCGGCAATGGAGCTCCTCGTCGTCTACCTCTCCTCCACCCAGACCTCTCCCTCCGAGCTCGTAACATCCATCAAGCTCATCCTCAGCAGCCTCGACCTGCTCAACACCTCCAGCGCTCCCAAGCTGCAAGAGCTCGTCCTCCGTCCTTCTCCCAACGCCACCACCACCACCTCCGAGGCCGACAAGCAGCCCCAGGACAAGGACACCGAGATGACCGACGACGACGTGGCCATCACCAACCAGCTCGATCAAGCCGAGCAAGAACTCCAGCTCACCGAGTTCCTTGCCACCTCCTCCCCCCGCTACCCACTCCGCGCGCGCGGCCTCTCCGCCGCCTTCTCCAAGCTTTCCGCTTGCCCGTCCCTGCCCACGGTGCACACCCTCCGCCGTCTACTGACAGCCGAAGAAATCGTCTGCCTGATGAACGTGCTCCGCAACGAGATGATCAAGGACGGCTGGACCACGCGCTACCTGGCCGACTCGGAGTCGTCCGACGAAGAAGAGCAGGAAGCGCCGCCCGACGGCTCCATCAAGCTCATCGCCGATTTGCTCAGCCGGTGCATCGACGCCGTCGGTCTAGGCGGGTGGATGGGCTTCGACGCCATCTTGCGCTCCTGGGGCAGCCAGCAGGACGCGGCCGAGTTCTTCGAGGACTTCCAGAACGAAGTCAGCGTTGCCCTGGAAGGACTCAACGAGACTGTCAGACTGCAGGGCATGATTGGCGAAGCTACCAATTACGCCAAGAGGGCGAATTCTTCGCTTATTAATGCTGCTTCTAAGCCCAACAAGGCTTCTTCTGCTGCTGCTGCTGCTGCCGAGGGCGAGGGTATCACTACGACGACGGCGGTCGTGCAGCTGTCGGCTGGCCCGCTCCCGCTGGGTCTCAAGACGGAGGAGAAGATTGGTTTAGAGAGAGTACGTGGCGGTGGAGAAATTGTGCAGAGGAGTATGAGGCAGATTGGCATGTTTGTTAGCAAGAAGCGGAGAGGGTATGAGGTGCACCGCATCTCGGAGGAGGGGTTGCTTAGCAAGGGGAGTGGAAGACCTAGTTTGGTTGTTCAGGAGGCTCTCTGAGTTAAGCTTGGGTTTTGTGATGAACTTGCCCATGGGCAGAAAAAGTGCTTGTTGAAAAGTAGGGTATACAATATACAATAGATGGTGTTTTGATAATAGGATATGTTGTTTTGCGTACGCTAGGAGTGTGTCCCAGATCTGGATATGGTGAGCCATGCGGACTGGGTAGTCGTTTTAGGGTATAACATACTTATAAAGGAAAGAAAAGGTAGAAATGAATTTCAAGAGGAAAGATAAAGGGGATTAATAGCAACGCGATACCCGATGGAAAAAGGGGGGAAAGGATATAGCACAAGTATAGGTACCTGTATGTAGATTACCTAACTAACAGCTGGAATGGACACGTTCTACCATCCTCCCTTTCGAATTGTGATATAGAAGAAGCTATCATCACCATAGCTAACTGGCCTCTCTCGACTTAATATGATGATGCCCGGGTTCGCTCCCGGGTTACCATGACAGCACTTAGGTACCGTAGGAGAGCACTTACAAAACAGTTCAATCTACATATAGACGCGAGGCCAAAAAGTCTAGAGGAACCTATTACGTTCGACGTACGTGTGCTAATGGCATGAATCAGTCAGATGGATGGAGGAGTTTTTGATGAGTGATGATTAACTTGAGGTCTAGACTACCACACAAAAACCACAACGGGAGAAGGCAGGCCAGCAGCCTTGCCCGCTCGCACTGGTTCTGAGAATTTTATGTTGCAAGAAGTCATATTGATCAGAGCTTTCAGGTTTCCAATCGGTCTTTGGCCCCCAGCCATCTTCGCACATAGGTAGATCATATGCCCTTCGCCCCTGACTCCATAGAGTTAGTTACCTATTAGTGGCAGACAACTCCGCTCATCCATAGACTTGAAACTTACCTAGTCACCTCTTTGCCTCGCACCCTCGGTGTCCAAACTCGTCCTAGCTTCCAACCAGACTCGGGAGAATTTCCTGTTACACTGCGTGGTGGGCTTACAACCTGTTACAGGAATGGAAGTACACCCGCCTGTGGTGTGATGTGTAGAGGCAGTACAACTGGATATAGAATGGAAAAGCTCACCTACAAGGTATTTTAACCGCGCGTGCTTCATTCAAGCTGTGTGGAAACATGTAGACTATGTTTGTGTGTTCGACGTATGTTGATAGCCGGTGGTACTTTGCGATCATGACTGCCGACATCACCTCTAGAGTCGATAAGAGCCGCTCGAGGATTGTAGGTAACCGTGAGTGATGAGCGAGGCTCAAGGAGATGATGGGTTATTCCAGAGAATAATTCCGACTGCGAGACAGCTGCTCGGTTCTTGTGACTGGTTGTTTGCGGGGCCGAGAAATAAGGCAACCAGTGAGCCAACCGCCAAATGACCCAGCTTTTAATTGTTTGCTCGCTAATGTTAGAAAGATGAGGCTTCATCGCTTCAGAGAAGATATGTCGTGTCTAGGACTTTTTATGAACAGAAGGGACAAAAATATGAGTAATACCGGCAAGTGACCCTGAGTGTCCCCCGTCGAGGCTCGAGTATTTGTAAGATCGTGATGTGATGTTTGCCCTTCCGTTTTGACGAGTGTCCAGTCCAAGATGGAGTAGTATCGATCACCAGATGCCCCGACTCCCAAACGAGGCTCTGGCAGAAATGGCCTGACAGCTCGCAGTGCTCACCCGAAGCAATACAGTTGGCCCAGAACCGTTTTTGAAAGCGAAAAATGTGTGAATCTGCTATTTCGTTCGGTGTTCCGAAACGGACGGACCCGGTAGAGGTATAAAGGTACCTAGGTAGGTAGGTAAGCACGGCTTGACGACAAGGTGAAGAAAGAAAGAACAGGTGGACTCAACTTCTGAGCCTCATTGATCTGTCACACGTTCTGCAGAGGCCGAGTTTGGGCCAGGGCAGGCTATGCGGACGTTTCAGGAAATATAACAAAGACCTGTTATTAGCACGGCAGTCTCATCCTACCTACAGTTCCCATCAAGGTAAGCAATGCGGCCCTGGTGCTGTCGGAGGTTATACCGACCAATGACCTCTCCCTTGGAACCAACCTCTGTACAATCCAGATGGGAAACGCGGCAACGTAACGGTCAAAGTGCACAAGTAACGATATCGATAACCTGATGCATGGACTGTTACTGAGGTTACACACTTGTGTGTACTGCATGTGTCGTAACCACACCACCAGAAGGTTAAAGTTGCCTTTTTCTTCCCCGTGCTCTCTCGTCTGTGCTTCCCCATCTCATCCCGTCCTTCACCTTGCTCCCCCTCTTGTAGGTAGATGAATGCCAAGTTTGCTTGCGCTCTCGATGATAAGGTCAAGGTATGTAGAGGCGGCTCGCCTGCTTGAAAGGATATGCAATTCCAATGCACTCATTCTAACTGCACATTTAAACCCTGCAGGATAGGTATGCAAGATGCAAGTTATTTGCTCTTTGGGTCGGTCATCAGACTTGGTGATGACCCCGACATCCCGTACGGGGCTGGGCCCGGGGATAACGCCTTCGGTTGAGGCTTGGAGTGAGGTGGAGCTATTCCCATTGCAGCCATCGGTGATATCCATGTCTCCCAACCCTCCTGAAGTCATGTCGGAAATCGGAACTCGGAATGATAGTCGGAGATGTCCAACAGTGAATGGAGCGAGTACACTAGAAAGTGAAATGGAATGGCATGAAGAAGCTTTCTTTTCTTTCACAGCCACGCAAAGATCTGGGGAAGCAGGGGGAAGAGAAGAACGTTGTGACCTGCACAGCCCGACGGGACCGCGAGAAGTACACTACTAGCGCCGGTGATGCCGGGTGCCGAAGCGGTGCCGGCTGGAAGTCTCTACTCTCTCTGAGTGAAACTTTTTGCCGGTCGAGAAAAGGCACGAAGGTGTTTATACCATGTTGATGGGGATGATGACTCGTGACCTGCGAAGCCCCAGGGTCAAATGTCATGGTGAAGAGTGAAGAATGGAAGTCGGGAATTGAACCCTGATTTTTCTTTCAGTGACACCAGAGATAGGTACCACAGTGATACCTTACTGTGCCAGTGGCGCACCTACCGTACTATAGTATCTACAGCACGTTTCCAGCGCGTGTTTCGCTGACTGCACTTGTAACAGCGCTACTAAAGGTCAAAGACCCCTCTCTTCCCAGACTTCCATCCCCTCTGATTGGTGCACCTTTGCCCCTCCTCGTTTAAACCAGCCGACCAGCGAGCGTCTTTTCAAACGACGTCACCGCGTCCGACTGTTCTTGGCAAGACATCAACACTTCCCGTCCCCGACCATCATTCCGCGTCCCAAAATCAGCACGACAGGCCAAAAACACGATATCGACACGGGCCATGTTGCAGCGGCCATTAGATCCAGAATCGGAATGTACTCGAGCGAGTATGAACTATGGTGGACCATGGAACGGCGAAATTGCCCTCCTTGCATGCATGCCCGCCCGTCAGCCCGTGAGCGACATTGCAGCGGTTCCAGCTTCATTCCCAACGGGTTCAAAAGACGGGTTGAAGCAGGAACGGCGTCAATCGCTTCCGCTTTTCAGTAAAGGTCGGTCGTTGAAACACGGAAAACAAAATGTTCGTGATACTCGACCAGAGAGGTGATGCAGAGTACATATCCGATGGGCGTGAGGCGAAATCTCGTCTCGGCATTTTGGGGTTTTGTCGCCTTATGATGACTTGACTTCGGTGTCAAAAGGTTCGCCCTCGATATACTTCCTGACTTCCTAGGTAGGCACGGTAGGTAGCTTTCCAGATCGGTGGTCATGTTTGTTCAGTACAATTCATGGTGCACTCACTCATGGTGTCACCACCGAGTCGTCGCTGGTTCGGGTGGTTCGCGGTAAACGGTAGTCCCCTCGGATTCATCTCACTCACTGATCTGACTGATCTGGCTGATACCATAGAAGAAACAATCTCGGTCGAGGGACCGGGAGATGGACATCAATGGTGGTGACCGAGGCGACCCTTTTGTATTTGATTTTCATCTCTGCCTCCGCCTCTTCTCTGTCCCTCCGCGATCACCATGAATCACCTTCCTCTCTCACACATACATATCAAGGATAACTTATGACATATCTCCTCTGCCCCTCCCTCCGGTCTCCCCCTTCCGGCCCCCTGCCCTCCCTCCCCTCTCAGGATTGCAGCAGCAGAAACGCCATACAAGCCATGCAAGCCATGCCAGCCCTCGCGATATTCCTCCTCCTCGATTGCTGATTCGCCCTGTATTGGTCATTTCATTGCTACCCAGCCTGAGCCAGACAGCTACCCAGACAGCTACCCTCCATCACATTCACGGCTGCCCACACACACGCAGAACACGGTGACTGTCTGGGTGACCATCCATCCAGCCATCCAGTGGGAATCGATTACCACTTCTTGCACTCTGCACCTGCTTGGCCCGTCACCTTTCGTCATTGGTTAAACGCGGGACAAGATCTTCCCAGCCCAAGACTTTTCTGATTCCCAACCTCGACCTGATAGACCTGACAAGACAAGACCTGACAAAGCTCTTTTGCTCTGCTCTTCTCACCTCCCCAATCCAAAAGCTCCTTCAGTCTACTATCCACACGCTTTTGCTTTCCACCGGTCTTTGTTTTTCACCATCTTATTCTGACCCTTCATCAACAATCGCGCGGTGTCTCCGGCGCTACAAAACTACCAAGAACTGGTTTACGAAAGAAAAAAGTCTTGGCGCTGCTTACAACCCTTGTTCAAGTTCGGAAAGATCAACACTGCCCAGTTTGGTCATCAGGGTCATCGGTCTTGGTCAACAAGGGTCCTTCAAATTTTGACTTCTCCGGTCGGTCCTTGGCACGACACCTCCAGTCTCGCCGATTACATACCTTGACATACCCAGAGGCGATTACCTACCAAACAAACACATTTGTCTAGACCATTCCCCGGGCATCCTACCCTCCTCTTAACTTTTGTCATCTGGAGAATTTCTGTGCGAAACACACCATCGAATCGCTGTTTTACACTACAACCACTGACAGTTTCCACAACCGCCGCCTCCGCTCATAGCACGAGAAAGAGAGAGAGAGAGCTAACCCACATATCCACTGATTGTCCCCACGTGGGACCTACATCATCATCAACAACCTACCTAACCCTATCCGACTGTTAAGCGGCTCTCGATTTGATCAATCCCGATGACGGTTCCCCCGGGCGATTCCTACTCAAACATCCCCACTGTCGAGTCCGCCTACGCCTACGCTCGTCAGTTACTTCGCGATGTCAAACGGGCCAATATCGAGGCCGACGCGCCCCAGCCCCTCAAGTGGATGGAGGAGGACCTCACCGGCCTGTACAAAGCGCTGAAGAACCTGCACGTTGAATCCCAAGATCAGGACTCGGTCCTCAAAGACACTTCGCGCGACGATAACATTTACGCCAAAAGATTGGCGTCCGCCGTCGAGGACAGCGACGAGGCCCTGCGCGAAGTTGACGATATCCTACACCAGTATGGCGATGGACGTGATGGAGTAAACGACCACCTGCAGCTAAGGCTGAACCTCTTGGATTTGGAATCTCCGACTCGAAAGATCTCCAAGCTTCTCGATGCCGTGCAGGTTCATAACCCCGAGAATGCCCAGGAGGTGTTGGACCATACCGATGGCAAGCAGCTGGACATGATCAAGGACAAGCTGGAACGGGTTGCGACGAGAATGTTCCAAAACCGAGCAGGGTCTCCTACCACTGATATGAGGGAGGATACTTGGCAGACCTTCAAGGAGGAGCTTGAGAAGGAGGGGTTTTCGCCCGAGATCCTGAAAAAGAATAAGGTTAGTGCAGTGGTACCTGCTGTGAAGGGTTCCCTGAGACAATAGGGACTAACAATGGAAACAGGAGGTCTTACGAGCGTATATCCGCGAAATCGAGGCCAACCAGTCCCCTCAGTACGGTTCACCGCCGTCCGTCCGTGGCCTGCTCGACTACCATCCCTCGTCCAACGGGCAACAGGATAGTCCAAGGTTTCCAGACTACGACCCAAACGTACCACAAGCCCTACAGCCGTACCACCATCACCGGACCACCCCTGGTCTCAACAGCCAGTACAGTTACGATGTTCAGACACCAGACGCTTCAGACTCAGATTCCAACAACGGGTCCCAAGCAGGTGCCTTGATCTCAACCCGCGACCTCATGGATCTTGACAACCACAACCCCGACATTCTCGCTGCCCGCATGGGTTCCATGCACCTGGCCCCCTATCCCACCGGAAACAAACATCATGCCTCTCCAGGCACTTCACCCAGCAAAGGACATTATCTCACATCCGTCTCTCAACCGCTCGCCATTCCGGGCTCCAAGTCGCAGCAGTCCAGCAACGGCATGCTTTCCGCGTCTCCCTCTGCCCAGTACGGCGCATCACCTCGCTACGTCCCACCGCTCGCTATGCCACCCTACCCAGATGCACCTCCTTCCCAAGGACCACCAACCACGGCAGAATCCTTCATGTCACCTCCCCTTCCCTACACCGACAGCCCGTCCCTCATGCACGGCGGCAGCTTCCCTTCTTCTGCGCCACCAATGGGCAACGACATTCTCAACCACAAGCCCACGCCTCGGCAATACACCCGTCTAGCACCAGACGGCAAGGGTAAAGATATTCCCATTGACGCGAAGTGGACCCGCATCAGGCGCAAATTGGTGTCTCCTGAGGTCCTGGAAAAAGCCGGCGTGCGCTACGAAGCTCGTCCGGATTTTGTTGCCATCCTGGGAGAGCTCACAAAGGAAGACATCCTCGAGTTTGCTCGACAAACGACGGAAGTCAGGAACGCAAGGAGGTTTGCTGCTCAGGGGAGACACAGTACCTGGCCTACACCCGAAACGACTAGTGACGGGCGCCGTCGACGCAGAGCCAACCGTCACTCGGACAGCAGCGACTCCTCAGATAGTGATGATGACGTGAGCGACGCATCCGCTGCTTCCAGGCGAAGGAGGAGACATCGTCGGAGAGCAAGTGATGCATCAACCAATGCCTCTTCTACCAATCAAGCTGCCGGTCAACCGGTGATTGTTTCGCCGCCAGCAAGCGTGAATGGAGATGACGCAAAGAGCAGTAGTATTACCAGCCCTACCAGTACTACCGCCCCGAAGCCGATTCTGAAGAACAAGAACACGAACCATGTCCGATTCGGAAGGGATGGCCCGAAGGAGATCAGCCCCGGGGAGTATGCTGAGCGGAAAAGGCGGGAGGAGGAGCGCGAAAACAGGCGTAGAAATAGGGATCCAAGCAGAGATGACCGCGATCGCGATCGCGATCGGGACCGTGACCGCAGTAGGCATCGGGATGATAAGGACAGGGACAGAGACAGAGACAGGGACCGTGATCGGGATCGGGATCGGGATCGAAGCCGAAGTCGTCTGCGCCCACGAGACTTGGCTGCGGACCTTGGAAGAGACCGTGATAAGGACCGCGACCCTTCCCGTTCGAGGAAAGACCGGGACAGGGACAGGGACAGAGATCGCGACCGGGACCGGGATAGAGACAGAGGAGACCGGGACAGGGAGAGAGAAAGGGATCGCGACCGTGACCGGGATCGAGGAGATAGGGACCGCGACAGGGACAGATCATATCGAGATGGCGGCGGCGGCGGCGGCGAAAGGGATCGCGACAGAGACCGAGACCGAGACCGTGACCGTGACAGGGAAAGGGATCGCGATCGTCCGCACCGCTCCTCCCGCCACTATGACCGTGGGGACCGTGGTGATCGTGATCGGGATCGGGATAGGGAACGGGAGCGCAGAGAACGGAGCGATAAGTCGAGCAAGAGCGCACTCATTGGAGGCGCGGCCGTTACGCTGTTGAGTATCTTGACCGAGGCTAGTCAGCATCTGTGATAGCGGAAGAGTTGGGGAACGCGAGTTTTATGGGATTGGAGGCGATACTTGGGTTTGTTTAGGATGGACATGTTGGATATACCACGGGTTTCTTTTTCATGACGATGACGACAACAATGGATACCTAAAGTGTAATGTAGATGACAAAAACGAATGATGATACCTATATATGACTGGATGAATGAAGAGTCAAACTTGGGTAGGTACGCGGCAATGTTGGTAACGAGATGATAACGACTGAAGAATGATGAATGCAGTGGTTATCGGAGTGTCGGATGAATGATCAGTTGGAAAAAGAAGAATCCAAGAGAAGGAAGTTGGAGGAGTCAAGTTCGCCAGCTGCTGTTTCGGAAACTTCTGCTGCGTAAGTATGTCAGGCAAGTGCAAGTGCAAGTACCTACTACATGGAAGTGTAGTCGGTACCTCTATGGAAGAATCATAATGGAGGGGGACGACCTGCGCTTTCCCAAACTGAAACCTACTTCGCTGGTGCTCCTGCCCATGCCGCCCGTCTTTACCCCTATTTATGGCAATCCCGTTTCCCGTCCCCACTTCAACTTGCAATGTTCGTACTTCTGAAACTGAACAGGCAAGAACAACCGGTATACCGATGTTTTTTCGTTCCTTCTGTTCCTGCTTGAACATCATAATGGAGGCGAACCCGACGTACCTACCTTACCTTCTTCCTCTCCATCCGTCCTTGGTTCCCCTCCATCAGTGCAAACGCTCTACAGGAACCCTCCCGATCCATCTGACAGGCAGGACTCATTCCGAGTTACTCAGTCGGGACAGATAGCCGTACGGTACGTACTGTAGCGCAATCTGTTTCCATGGATGGTCTTGAAAATCCGAAGATCTGAACTTGAATCGTAAAAGTGATCAAGATTGTCCCAAATTGCTAGTAAAGTAGAAGATATCGAAGAGCAAAAGCTATACTGAAATGCTGTGCCCTGCTCTGTGATATAGTACCACTACCCGCTTTTGCTTCCTTCCTACTTAGGCCAAATGCCCATGCTTGATGTTCACTAGGTACCCACCAATGAAAAGACCAACAGCAGGCTAGAATATCGCTCCACCCATCTCTCGTTACCTGGAATCGGTGTTGGTCTACCCGACGTACTGACCAGCCCACATAAGGTACCTAGCACGTCGTCTTTCTCCCCTGTCAATCAGCCCAGAGGCATGGTTCACACCCCCTTCGACCGTCTCGTAGTCCTACTCCTCCCTCCATACCCCTTCTCCTTCTCCGCCTTCCCTACAGGTCTCCTCATTACCCTTCCGACTAAACCCGTCGGGCCCCCATTGCCATGCTCTTCATTTTCCTCTACATCCCTACCAAGCACGTCCAAGTCTCCAATCGACATGCCAGTCTTCTGCTCCTGTGCCGTGTGCTGCTTAATGGAGGAAACGGTGGCAACGAGATCGGTAGAGGTGGCTTCCTGGTCGCCATCGCCGAGCTTGGAGAGCAACTTCTGTCGGGCTTTGCGCGAGTCGACGTCCTGGTAATCAATTTGCGTTGGTGCTGGACCCCCTTTATCGTCTTTCTTGGAGGTGCGGGTTTTGCGTTTTGTGGTATTAGTGGTCGCTGGGGAAGTGTTGGTCTCCTTCCGTTGAGGGGAAGCTCGGGATTTAGTACCTTGACGGCCTGGTTCAGCTTCAGGAGCATCCGGTAGACCCTCCTCGCTTGCTGCTGAGACGTTACTCAACGCTCTGCCCAGAATCTCCCGTTTCCGTCGACGGGGTTTGCCGCCGGTGACGGAGCTGTCATCTGAGCGTACGGAGACGGCTTCGCTTGGGGCTCTTGTATCCCTAGTCAAGGCCCTGGCCTCTGTTGCTGCCTCTACCGCTGTGATGGAAGTAGACAATAAGTCGACCAATCGATCCGTGACCTTTAACTTCTCGGCCTTCTTCTTTTCCTCGGCTTCCTTGAGCAAGCGGCGGCGGAGTTCTTCAGCGGTTTCGCCTGGGTCTTCTATTGCCGGCTCTTCCTCCAAGGCTCTAAGCTTCCTTGGTGATTTGGACTGCTGTCGTATGCCAGGAGCTTCGTCGACGACTGGCAACTCGTCTTCGCCGGGGATGGGGAGATCATCGTCCTCTGCAGAGTCCCCGTCGTCCGAACCTGCTATCTCGCTTTTTATCCTGCCTAGCGGTTTTCGCGCTGGTTGCTGTTTTTGTTGGTGTTTTGAAGAAGAGGTGGGCTGGGAGAGGTTGGAAATGTCTGCTAGTGGTGCGCCGGCTGCTGCTGCTGACTTGTTCTTTCCCGGGGTGGTATTCGCCGTGCTTGGTTGTCGCTGACTTGGTGCTGTCTCGTAGCTATCGTGGGACTCGTCTAATGACGTTGCAACCGCGGGAGTCGCCTTGGAGTTCTTAGACTCCGAGGCTAACGATCTCCTCTTCTCTCGGATAGCAGAGGTAAAGTCTGAGACGTCGACGCGGCTGCGTGATTTGCTTGCGGTAGCAGCAGCAGCCGGTCTTGGAAGTAAATCCTCGTCGACATGTCCCATCTTCGAGGTCTTCGGTTGTTTCTCCGTACCCTTCTCTCTGCCTGCTACCTGGCTGTCCTTTGACGCCAGTGGTTCCTTGGAACGGATCTCCTGGTTGAGTTCGGGGAAGAGAAAGTCCTCGATAGGACACTTGAACCCCGTGGTGATGCACCTCCACAACCATTCTGCCCTAACGATCGGTACCTTCCACCGTAGTGCCATTTCGAGTTTCTGTTTCCTTATGACAGACATTGACGGCGCCACTAGTACCGACACGTCTGCCGTGAACCTCTCTTCGTACCGAGCACCCAGTTGTCTAATGGCTTTGTCCACATGGTTGAGGTCCACGCCTGTGAACCCTGCCGTCGAGATAGAAAGGGTGTCGAAGTCTGGAACGGGAAACGTGGGAAACGGTCGGCCGAGGACATGTTCGTTGGGATCGAAGAAGTACTTCTTGTGTAGACACCGTTCGATGTAAAATTCGGTAATGATGTAGACATTGTCTGGAAGACGGGGATGGCTGTCTTGTTGGGAGTTCTGTGGTACGACGAGGAAGCGGTGCGACATTTGTGCGCCAGAGGCGGACGCGCACTCGTCGAGGGTTTGACAGACAACGCCGCCTAGGGAAGCGACGGTGTTGGTGAGGATTTCGGCCTCTTTGGGTGCAAAGCCGGCTACGTAGAAGCAGCAATAGGCAAAGATGAAATCGTAATGGGGTATGCCAAACGAGGAAAGCCTTGAGCCCTGGGTGTCTACCGATTGTGCTGGACCAGAAGGCTGCTGCTGACTCGGATCACGTTGAGCGGGGACTGAGGGTGGCGGTTGTGCTTGGGAAGCTTCGGTGAGGGGAGCCGGGACAGTGGCAGCAGACGATGAAGTGGCCGCCGGAGGCACACCCAGGATGCTCCCCCACAGACTATCCCTTTGGCTGTTGAGCTTGATACTAGCGGTCTTTCTCAGCTTTCTCCTCCCGGCTTCTTGTCCCTCGGCGGCGGTTTCCCTTAGTCGCTTGCCCAGGGAGGCAATCCGGCCGCTTTGTCTGTTCCAAGCGCCCACTCCCCTTTCGTTTTGTGGCAGGAGAGGATCGTAGCACTTCTCGTCCAGAATCAAACCACGCTCGACGCAATCGTTGACCCACTCGACCGTCACAGTCCTGATGCCCCAGTTATGAGCAGCCTGGTACTTGCGGCCTTCTGGCTTGCAGACGACGAGGTGGGTGACGCGACGGGTCAAGTCGCCGGTATAAGTACCGCCGCCCTTTTCTACCATGTCGATGATGTGCTGGCGCTCTTCGGCTTCCATAAACCCAGTCGAGCAGATGAGGAGTTTTCGTCGAGGTTCGATTGTGCCGTCGACTAGGTTCGGTTCGCCGCCGCCCGTTTCGAAGGGTTTCATCTCCCATTCTTTCTCAAGGGCGATAAAATCGATGTCGGCATCTTCTACCCAGAGCTTTCGGATGGCTTCGATCCAGCCGGCGGCCATGGCCTTGACGTCGGGACGTTCCTTTGCGACATGGCGGTACTTGGGGGTATCGTAATCACCGACGATGAGGTGGGTGCAATCGGGGGTGAGGTCGTGTTTGTGCTTGCCGCCGAGTTCGTCGGTTTTGCAGGCGATGTCGTTCTGTTGATTCAAGAGTCAGTTATGTTGGCTGTCAAGGCTGTCGAAAGCGAGAGAGACAGGAAATCAGGTACTGTACCCTTAGTTCTGGAGAGATGCTGGTGCAGCACACGACGACGCCCTTGAGAGGATGGGAGGGATCAAAGAGGACATTATCGGGGTCTGACGATGGCGATCCGGCGCGCGATGAAGACGCGGCATGGTTGCTCATTTTGTCGCATTGGTTAGGTTGTCCTGTTGAAGAATTGAAGCAAGCTGATGTTCATACGGGAACTCCAGCTGGTGGACCGCGAACACCTCTACGGCTTGCAGGCAGTGCACTACTTTACCACTAACACAGCACCGCGTCGCGTGGGCACCTGACTGCGAGGACCCCTGCACCTGATAAGGGAACTTAGGTACCTACGGTAACTGAATTGTGCGACTTTAGGCAGAATCCCCGGGTTAGGGTTGGGCTCTCACCGGCGCTTCATCCCATCTGGCTGGCTGTCCATCTTCCGTCCGACTCTCTTACAAACCACCAACACCGTACTTTGGTGCTGCCAGGCAAAGAAATAAACGGCTCATTCCATCTCTGGCTTTGCATCATAGTCATATTCAACGCTCCCAGCATATCCTTCTTACCACTCCCGTCGTGTACATTTCCGTTTTGCAACAGCAGCATGGGGCTATCAGCAGCTCCTCGTGGCCCTACCCAAACGGCGGCAACCTAAGGCGATGGATGAATGGTATCCAGCAATATATTACACGAGCTCAAACATGCCCTTTTCACTGACGATTCACGAGCTTTGTTTAAAGCCCAGTGGCTCTGATTCAGCGCAATGAGATCAGTGATCATCAGCCTATGCCAGAATGGCATCTTGTTGCGCCTTCTTTTCTTCTCACAAAGCTGTCCTCGTGGGTTGCTGTTTATGGAATATTCCTATTCTTCTTGTTTTTATCCATCTCCCGTCAACATGGACTTTTCAATGTCCAACACATCACATTTCGATCTCATAAAACGTCAACCATCATGACCCGCCTCTCACCCGCTTCATCCTCGGTCCTTTCCGTTGCTCACTCCGCATCTACTGGACTCCCATCTGCAAATCTCGAAAAGTCGGGCTCGACTAAAAGTTGAAAGAGCTTTTTCTCAGGAACCAAACGACAACTAACAACCCATGCTAGTTTCTGTGGCCTGTGTTCAATTGGATACCCACCTTCCTTTTTGATCCAAGCCTCTTGTTGCCTTATTTCCCTCCCATACAAAGTCTCGAGCTAACAAAGTGTCCAACATTTGGATTTTAGGCAGGTACACACATACCCGGATGCAGGTACCCTGCGGTCCAGATCACACTGCTACTGGCTCTAGTCCCTGTCACGGGCATCATCTCCGTCTCTCGTCCCGACTCTCTGGATCCGAGAAGGTCAGAAGGAGGGTAGGTAGTAGCAATGCAACCTGAGGCCCCTCGAAACCAACAGGAATTGCAATGAAGATATCAAAGGCCCGGGTCAGTTCCGGCAGCAGACCATGTCTTGTGTGTAAAGTCACAACGGTCAGGGGCAAGGTCCATGTATCGGCCAGCCAGTCATTTGAGATAGCCATGGCTCTACTAAAACGAAGTGTTGCCATGTTGACTTGCTACCCAAGCTCAAGACATTCTTCCACCATGCATCCCAATCACCAAAGTTCAGAGCCACCTGGCTGTTTCTCATCATGCCTGTCAAGTTTGCCATCAGCTCTGGCGCTCTGTCGCTAGCGCTATTGCTCTTCGGCCATGGCCACCTCACCAAAGCAGCAAAGGACCCGGATACTACTTATATTTACTTCGACAATATCCCATATATTGCCAACGCCTCCAATATTATCCCGATGTCCCGCGTTGGAAGCCGCCTTTGCAGACCCCATCCGCGAGGACATTGCCAGTTTCACCGGTCTAGATTGGACAAAGCCGCACCCCAGGAGCCCGCTGCCAGGCTTTACTGCCCATCTGCGGATAGCGGACCACGTGCCTTTTCCGCCCGCTGTGAAGGAGGAGAATGCCATAATCGACGTGGCAGCTCTCAACAACGGCATCCCACCGTCCATGAGAAAGGCAGATGGTCTCCCCAAGAGCATGCATCCCTCGTGGTTCATCTGCCAGCACTATTATGTCAGTGACCTGCCTGCCGCAGTCTCGGACTTTGCGCACGACTGCTCCTTTTTGCCGAGTCAATGTCAGAAGGACTTGAAAGCCGACATGGTTGCGAACTGGGGAGCATACGCGGACGAGCTGAACGGTACCATGTGCGGCGGATGGACCTTTGACACCATCACGCCAAGCTGCCAAGAGGCCCTGGGATTTGTGACAGCAGATGTGCTGGGTAAGTGGTCCTGCATACCTTAGTATGTATCGAGTTTGACGTGTCTCTAATTGTTGCTTTCGATATGTGTACTAGGTTTTGATGCGTCCTATCTCGAAGATGAGGTCGGGGCCAGAGATGCGACAGTGGATCAAGTCGGACGCTATTCATGGATGGTTGGCGACGGTTTCCAGGAACCAAGCACAAAGACAACGTACTATACTGCAGCCAACAGGACCTGTCTGGTCGCTACTGTGTTTGGGTACAGTTCTGGGTATAAAAGTTCAGTCCAGCCGAGAGTGGAACTTTCATGTCTTCGAGGCCAGTGGGGGACGACAACGACCCAGGCCAAAGCCACTTCGTCTTCTTCTTCGTTGTCTTCTTCTTCTGCTTCTACCACCTCGACACCGTCGGATGACTCATCCTCAACGACATCGCCGTCTTCCGCTATCTCTGGGTCTAGTACGGCTGCGTCATCATCGTCATCACTTGTCACTGGCTTTAAACAAAACTACTACTACTTCCCCTGCATTGCCCTCGTCCACTATGCATTTTACAGGTATGTATTAACTTGCCAACTATCTCTTTTTGTGTTTATACACCTAGTAGTAGGCTTTAGGGTGGCAGCACCTCCAGTCACAGCAGGAAATCCAAGCTAACAAATTTTTTTTCTTCTCTCCGTCCACCAAGGTTGTATTACGGCTGATTGTGGTCTTATTTCGGGCAATCAATCCCAGAGGTCTTTGTTCCTGCAGCTATGACTACCTTAGGTAGTCATCGAACTGCTTCTTCGACCCCAGCCTCGTGCGCTATATCTCCACACCGTATACATGTCAGCGGCGGTAAAAGTTGCGACACATCGACGCGATTGAGACAGGATAGGTGCCCGTTGGGCAGACAATGAGACAAACCACAGCCTTTTATCCTGCCAATAGAACCCAGACTATGCGTATGAGCTACATTCGGCGCTCGCCCAAGATATTTCTAGGTACATTACCTCCACCGCCCATATCGCAACGTGCCGGGGAGTATGTAGGATTACTGGTACTCCAATATACCTATCCATATACCCTCAATACAACCCTGAAAGCGCCCCTCTGTACAGTACCTGTCACGTATAGCTGCCCCGTTGCTTTTTTTCTTTTTTTTTTCTTCTCTCCCTGAGAGCACCGTTGCTTGGTTGTATTCTGCAGCAGTCTGTTTGGAAAAAGGATGTGTAGAGGTATCTTGAAGTAGTAGGTTCCAAACACGAAGTGGCACCAACCCATCAGTCTTCATTTATGGGTGTCTAACGGAATCAAATTGGCGGCTGGGCTTGCTTGAAATGGATTAGAAAATGGATCTAGAAGACAAGAGCCGTTGTAAGGGGAAGGATAGATAGTTTGTTGATTTTCTGAGTGTCTTGACGGCGTACCTATACTAGCAGGGTGTACCTGAGGACGGGAGTTTTGGGCGTGCGTGGAGTGTAGATCATTGACGCGTAATATCTTTAGAGGTATGTTTATGTGTGCCTAGTTAACTTGCAATCGTCGGGGTTACCTTTTCGAAGGAAGAAGCGTGTAATTGAATATTGCTGAGCGAAGTTGGGTACAGTATTTTGGCACAAGATGGGGAAATATCAATATTACAAGAAAGATCCCATCGTCCTGGGCTTGTAGTACAGTAAATATTCTGAGTGGGGGATGTTGGCGAGTGAGTACTAGCAACTAGTTGGAGACTCAAGGGGTAATGTAAGGTACTATATACAATCACATGTTGCACAAAAAAAGAAAATGGAAAGCCAAAAGACAGAATAACCTGCCCTGCCCCTGAAGAGCGGCAACTAGTTCTAAGCCTGCATGTGTCAGACGGGACGGGCCAGACTGAGGTTGCCTTTCAAAGTGTTGGAGCTAACCAACCCTGGCTCGCCGTCAAGGTGCAAGGGGTTACTGCATTCAGTTACCGTATAACTCAGAAACGCCGTTTCTATTTAAATCGTTACCTGTCCCTTTGCTCCCTCACACCAAAGACACCAAAGTCTGCCCCACGAAAGGCCTTCAGCAGCTTCTATTTCTCTTCTCACAAACCAAATGGTTGATCAGCACAATTCCAAGTGGCTCGAGGATCAGCAAGGGCATATTTTGAGAACGCTGATTGATCAGCACATTTCCAACCGCAAAACACCGAGTCGCCATCCATCAACGAAGCTCAGCCCGGCGACATGTTCCAATCCATCAGCAAGCGTGACATGATTCTCCAGGAGGCTCGGGTCGCCTTACGTGGGGAGCGCCTTCCCTATGACTATATAAACGGACTCCTCTACTGCGTCATCCGCGGCATATGACACAACGAAGCCTTTGCCAGGTCTCAAGAGGTCGTGAAGCAGTGCAGGAAGCTTCCCGAGAGCAACATTGCTCGGGCACGCAATGCCCGGCTCATCATGAGCAACCAGATCCCGAAGATGGCAACGGACGACGCCAAACCCTACTGTTTCTGGCACCCCGACGTGCCCAGCGAAAGGACACTCCGTCGTCTGGTAAATCACTATCCCGACATGGCATATCTTGTTGGTCGAGCATGCGCCGTGGCAGGATACCATGAGTTGTATCATGAGCTTGACCTCCTTCCCGAGGTGTCGATTGCTGAAGAGGCTAGGAACAACAAGATAACCCAGGATCCAAGGCCATCTTCAAGTACATCATGAAACAGCCGGTTTGCTACGCCGTCTTGGACGACTACACCCGGACTAACAATTACGAAAACCCACGGTGTCCGGTCTTTTTGAACGGAGACACAGCCTTCCGATCAACGCTGGACGTGACAGTCGCCCCGGAGGATTATTGGGGTGAGCATTATTTCAATCTGGACAGCGACGGGTTTCCGTCCGACATCACCGAGGACGGCCACATTGGCGAGGTCACGATGCACGCATCATATAATCAGACACAGCAGGGAACACTACCTCCGGAACACGTCGAGCTGCTTTATTTACCTTTGCCCCTGCATCTGCCCACCATGGTCAAAAACCCGCTGATCATCATGGCCGCTTATGAAGGCAATCTGGACCGCTATCTTCGCTTGCGTCGGCCGCACATGATCATGGGCGAGCACGGCGCCGTTCTTCGCGGGATATACCACAACACCACCTTTGCCAAGTGGTGGTCGCTTCAGCCGCGGGATGGACACAACTCGGGGAATATCCGAGCAGCCACCCTCGCGCGTTTTATCATGGTCAACGACCTGTCGCACATGACGGAAAACGATCCCGATCCCGAAGCCAACTGCAATGAGATTCCCGGCATGATCTGGTGGCCACTCGTCCCCGCCGAGAGAACGCTCGAGGTCCTCACCAAACGTCGGCTGGACATGCACCTCCAAGTAGCCATGGCCTGCATCGCCGGAAACTACAAGGAGCTATGGGATAAGCTGGCACCGGAGCCATCCAAGCAGCTGTGGGACATGGCTACTTCTCAGCGTGATGCCAGCGTCCGGAACCACTTTGTCGAGTACCTCGAGCGTCGTGCTTCCGAGCTCGGACGAGTGACAGCCGGCAGCCCCCTCCCTCACGGCCTGGTTACGGAGTGCGAGTATCCTGCGCACGACTGGTGCTGGGATGCAGCGAGAGTCATCAAGGAACCGTTTGATCCCTTTTCACGTTACTCCTTGCGCTTTCTGCCTAGGGATATTGTCATAAAGGAGACGGACGATCGTTTTGATATGGAGAACATCTATGGAGCATTCGAGCAGCCTTGTATGGCTGGGTGGGAACTCCGTATGTGCGCGACAGAGGAGACGTTGGCCAAGATACCGGACGGTGAGGATGGCTTGAGGTTGTATGATGATTGTAGTGATGATGATGAACAGGGGCCGTCAACCAAGGAAACGGTGGAGACGAATTCCCTTAAGGTATCTTCGAAAAAAGCGGATGACGACAACGTGGAAGCAAGCAGCCAGGATAACGACGGGAACACTACACCGACCGATCATGACCCATCCTAACAGGATTCAAGACTTTGATACTGTGGCTAAAATGCAGGGTAGGGTACCTTAATATAAAGAAACGCATCTTTTACTCCGATGCTCGCGCCACCCTCTCCTCTCTTCATGATCTGATCCCAATAAAATCGTAAACTCGTCCAGTCCACCACTGTACCAGACAGGACCAGACTTCAAAACGGCCAATCCATAACCGTCCTCTCCTCATTCCTCCTCGTCACCTGCACCTCATCACCTACACTGATCCACACTTCGCGCCCCTCCTCCTCCTCCTCCTCCTCCTCCTCAACAATAGCACTCTCCCCCACAAACGCATACCGCCCAAACACAGGACTCCACTTCATCCCCGGATCCACTCTCCGATCCTTCATCAGCTTCTTGAGCACAGCGCCCATCTCCCCCTTGGCTGGCTTGCCCGTGTCGTAGTCGACGTTCAGACTGGTGCAGCGGGCGCAGTTGCCTGTCAAGTGGAGTTTTGTTTTTGTCTTCGTTTTCTTGTTGGTGGTTGTTGGCGCAGTGTTGGAAGTTGACCTTCGTGTGCTGGAAGTAGACCTGGAAGTAACGACAAGTTCGCCCCAGTAATCCTCCGCCCAGGCTTCTTCGCCTTTGCCGTCCACGACGAGGTTCGGTCGCATTTTGTACATTGGGACTTGGGGGACTTGGGGGTGCGTTGTTGGTTTAGTGGATTCTTCGGGAGACTCAGGGGTCAGGCGGGCAGAGAGGTTAGAAAGGGACGATTCCGAGGTGATGAGCAGGGGGGCAACGTCGGTGAATGTGATCCATGGCTTCTTGTCTGGTTGTTGTTGTTCTTGATCCTCCTCCTCCTCCTCTTCGCGTTCGCCTTGGATGGCGATGAACCCGGGAACCGAAATCGGGACGGTAGGAAACCATGAGGTGAGACTCGTTATGGTAGATAACCATCCCCCTCCTGACTGTTGTTGTGGTTGCAGTCGCTGGGGAGTGGATTGCCCGGACTGACCCCGGGAACTAGCATGCGAGTGTGTTGCTGATGTTGCAGGTGGCAGCAAACTCGTCCCCAGAATCTGGCGCTTCCCATCCCCAAGATAAACAAACATCACCTCAAACCCAAACCGCTCCGAAAACCACCGATCATACTCCTCCCCAACCTTGTAACACGTCGTCGGGCTGCCGTGCAAATCCACCTCCACGCGCTCCAGCTCCTCGATCCTCGGTGGCGGGTCAAGTTCAACCGTGATCGTCTCTGCCTCCAGCCTTTTGAGTTTTGCGCTCTCTGCTTGCTCTAGCAGCTCCAGCTCTTCCTCAGCTCCCTGACCAGCAGCAGGGGCAGGGGCATGCCACTTCACAAGTACTTCCTTTGACCCCCCATTTTGATCTTCGCGCGAGAGAATGGTCTGTTCGAAAAGCGCGCATTGCGGGTGGGAAGAAAGTTGCATCTTCTTCAGCTCAACGGACCCATCATCGCTGGCTTTGGTCTTGACGTGGTAGAGCATGAAGGTGCGGTCATATTTGATGCCTTGTGGGGTGAGTTGGGCGTGTTGGAGGGGGATGGGGCGGAGGCCTTTTATGGGGTAGACGTAGAGCTTTGTGAGGGGGGTTGTTAGCATTGGTCTCGTTGTGGTGATGAGATTTGAGTTGCTGGCGTGGGGTGTTGGTGTTTTGAGAGGGGGCATGAGGGAGATGGAGAAAGGTCCGGGGACGTCAATACCTCTGTGATCTTCATGGCTGCGGCTTTTCACTTGTATGCTTGCTGATTTTGGTTTGCGAGAAAGTGAATGAGCGAATGAATGAGCTGTTATCAGTTGGGTTTCCAGGCAGGTGGTTATAAATGAAAGATGTTTGCTCATCGACTTCAGCTGAGTGAGTTTATCGGCGCAGGTCACGACTCGAACAAATAATTGTTAGCGGCCCCGGTCCAGCCCCGGGAAAGAGGAGTCAGGGACCAACGCACCGTGCTCCTAGAGTTGTCTGTTAGGGTTTAGTGTCTACGGCTAGTCCCACAGCGGAAGAGCGCACCCAGGCACGCCAATGCACATGGAAAATCACATTAGACGAATGGGGTCTGGCCGCTATGGAGACGGGAGAGTCAGTCCCCTCATCGTCTTTGTCCCCAACTGAATTCCTCATCAATTGTTTGCTTTGCCACCGACGACGTTTCTTGAACTTGTGAATCCTTCCTCATTATCGCCAATCCACGTAACCTAACGCCATCCATTCTTGATCCCGACACAATATCTATGGATTACGAGCGGGAGTTCAAACATGGAGTTGTGACCCGAATCAGTCTCGGCTACGGCTTCCACTCACGCCGGAGTCCTTTGTTCCCTTTATGTTGCCTATGAGATATTCTGTCCATGGCACGACTAGGTTCTCTAGGCTAACGGGCACATCAACTCAAAGAGACATATCTACTGGCAGGAAGAGTCTGGTAGGTATCGGGAATTTGCGGGTTGTGAATCGACGGTCGGCACATGTCAGTTGCGCTGCTGGGTGCAACGGAACGTCCCCTCGACATCAATAACCCCGGCCGATCCCTCTGCTCCAATACTACCTCTACCTGTCTCGATTTGCAGCGACCTAGGACCGATTGAGAAGGCATCATGGAGAATCTGCAATCTATCTCTACGCTTCTCACAGTGAAGAGGTGACGACAAGGGAGGTTACACTGTTTGAAACGTGTACACTATTAGAGATCCAGATGCACATGGCCGTTTACATATCACCCTCCGGTGCCGTGACCGACTGACCGCCTGGTCAATACATACCGTTATATAAACCCTTGGCCAGAGCACACCGTTGGTAATTTGTGTTCTTTTCACAGCTCACCTTTGGTCTTTTCTTTCAAATCCCTCGGTGCGGGCCTACCAACATGACCACATCCAACCCGCTCACCACCGAGGAGGCAGCCGAGGCCGGCCTTTTGCCTGCGTCTCATTGGCAACAGGAGCCTGTAAGTTCATCTGCTCGTGCTGCTTATCCGGTGCTGGTGAGGTTGAATATGGTAATTGACCGACCGCTTGCACAGCTTCCCGGGGATGTGGATGCCGACGATGGCGCCTCAACCATCGGGTCGTTCGTTTCCAGCACCGCCTCGCTCTCCGAGTCGATCTTCAAGTATCGGACCATCCACGGAAGAACCTTCCACAGCGAGATCGGCAATGCAGAGTCATGGCAGCCTAATGATGCTCACCACATCGATGCCCAGGAGGTTGCGTAGGTGATAACACTGCTTCAGCTCTGGATTGACGACCCCCTTGAGCGTAGAGGTACTACAAGAGCTATGCTGACTGTAAAGAAAAAAGCCACCACAATTACATGGTTGCTATAGGGCACAAGCTGTATCTTTCACCACTCGAGAAGAACAAGGTTGGGAAGGTTCTTGATATCGGCACTGGTACGGGCTCGTGGGTGATGTAAGTCAGGCCCCTTATTGACCCCAGTGAATCAACATGTCCCTAAGGTACTGTGACACACATAGGGGTCTAACAGAACTTGTTTCTCCTTTTCCACTACTAGCGATTTCGCCGACGAGTTTCCTAATACCGAAGTTATTGGTACCGACATCACCCCGATCCAGCCAACCTGGACCCCATCCAATTGCAAGTTTGAACTCGACGACTGCAATGCGGAATGGACCTGGCCCGACAACACCTTTGATTTCATCCACTGCCGCATGATGTTTGGCGTCGTCACTGACTGGGACGACTTATTCCGGCAGGCCTACCGCACCAGTAAGCCTGGCGGCTGGGTTGAAAGTTTTGTTGCTTGCAGTACCATGTTTTCTGACGACGGAACGGTGAAGGAGGGCAGCGCCATGAGCCAGTGGGCTAAGGTGTGGAACGCTGGAGGGGAAAAGACGGGAAGAACGTTTATGGTTTATGACCATGATCTGCAACAAAAGGGTATGGAAAAGGCAGGATTTGTCGACATCACAGTCAAGGAGTTCATCATCCCTGTGGGCGTATGGCACAAGGATAAGGAGCTGGCCGAAAAGGGCATCTGGTGGAAGATGATGATGGAGGCTGATCTTGAAGGTATGGAAGTCCGCTGTCCATAATTCCGATCATTATATCGAGGCTACCTCTACGGATGGAGTAAAGTGGTTGCTGAAAGATGAGATGAATTCATGCTGACTCATTTGCCACCTAGGATACCTCATCTACATCTTCAACGTTGTTATGGGCTGGACCCCCGAGGAGAGTACGGCCTACGCCAAGCATTTCCGCAAGGAATTGAACGATCCCAACATCCACGCCTACTTCAAGGCGCGTACTGTTTACGGCCGGAAGCCGCACCCGTAACTAACTGCGGTGGTTGACTTTGGGGAAGGACACATAAGCGGAAGGAAAGGAAGGAGCTGGTCGCAAACCACGGCAACAGTCAAAGTGACATATTTGGACATATGTACCTACGCAAGATAGAATCCACATGACAGCGGCATTCTAAATAGTTCGCACCAGAATGAGGCGGTAGCATATTCCTCGAACTGCCGAACATGGAGTTGAAAAGGGAGCTGCTTCCCCGTCATATCACTTCAGTATTGCAATTCCTAAAGCCCCAAGCCGACGTCGACGTCCGCACACATGAACTTCTCAATGACCAACATATCGAAACGCAAGCCGGGCATATAACCACACGACACCTAGCAGTACCTCATAGGTTCCAATCCGCATGAAACTGGCATCTTCCCAAGCACCTACACCAGGTACAGATAGATAGGTACCTTACCGTATGATTCCGGGGGGTAAGTTTTTCAACAAACCTGAGAATCTCTGCCAAACCCCTGTATTGGATGCACGCCTTAGGTTTTGGGTTTCGAATAGAGTTTTCAAGGCTGGATGGAGTTGTTGAAAAGGCCATCCCCCGAAATTAATGTAGCCCTTTGTCACTGGTTTGGATTTTCCGATGGAGGCTGACTCCCACAAGAACAGCAACAGCAACAGTGTAGAGACTTTTCTAGGATGGAGGCAGGCAGCAAAATACCTCTACTGTGCTTGTTTCTGGTTCTGAATGAAGGGTGATACCGTAGTGATAATTGATGTCCAGTCAGTGACGGCTGGCTGCCCCGCGTCTCTTGTGATACTTGTGCCAAGTTCGGATTTCGAAAAGGAACATACCTAGTACATAGGTAAGATGATGGGACACTTCGCCGCAACTACCTAGTGGTAGGTACTGTAAACACACGACTGGACCTGCCTACGAAGAAGTGGACCTCCTGTCCCGCACAGGCCATTTGCACGGCAAGATCAGCGCAAAGAGTAAAGTATCGTCAGCTTTGACGGCGACGGATTATAACGACTGGAGCCGACCGACCATCAAGGTCCTCAAAACCCAGAAGGTCCACACTGTCCATGTCCTCGTGAGATCACCATCAAATCATCTCCAAGTTACTTGCTCTGAGTGAGTGCGTGCTGTCGACATCGAAGTTGCAGTCTCCGGTATGTATACGCGGTTCCGTCGATATTCATTGTGTACGTAGAGATACCCCTGGATATACGAGGTCCAGAGAGGCCGAGGAGGTAGGTATCTGGGCACATATGGCCAACATGAAGGCAGACGCAGAAAAACAACACCAAGAAGGGAATCTGAGGCACGACTTGCACATACGGCGCCGCTGTAAGGTGCTGGAGTGAACCAGGAGCAGGCCAGCCGTCAAGGTTTCGCTTCCCCTCGAAAGTGACCCGCCTGTGTAAGGTACCTATACAGCGCCGGCAGCTAATGTTCCTAGAGGTAGGTTGGAAAAGATCAACGCTGTATTCTGATACTCGAATCTGCTTCGGTCCATGTCACGAACCAACGCAGCGTACATGTACCGGTAGTCCATCACTACCTACCCCACACCAACTGAGTGAGGGTTCATCGAACAGCATTGAACCGAGCAAACCACATCGAACAAATACATCTACTGTGGTAGTCGACGGAGAGTCTCCCAGCTCACTCACCAGCTGGCGTCCAGTCCAGTGGCAAACCAAATCCTGGACTGGTCCGTACACTAGAACTAATTGGTGAGGTGACGCCCAGCTGTCTAGTCCAGCCCAGTCCAGCTCTCTCAGCTGCAACTGGCCTTCTGTGTTAGGTAAGTTACATGGCACCAGACCTCGGGTGAAGCACCTCCAGATTTCAATCGGGTCAATCACTCGCCGGCTGTTGTTGGCTGTTGTTGGCTGCTGTTGGCTAGGTATTGTTGACTCAGTACTGTCGTTGACGAATTTTGTCATGCCATGGCATATGCTTGGCGGTCGTCGTTGGTGCCTGTCATGGTGCCTGCCATGGTGCCTGAGCCGCGTAGCTAGAGTAGTGTACGCATTGTATGTGGTTGCCGTTGGTTGCCGTTGGCGGGCGTCGGGTGGCTTCCATGGCCGAAAGAAGGAAACTTGTTCTGGAAAATTTCTTTCGCTCGCCCGGTGTAACGTAAAAGGCTGGACCGCGATGAGCTTTCATTGATTAGTTCCAAACTTCCAAGGAAAGCAAGCGGTCATCGAAACTTTCCAAGGCACCGTACCGTCAAGGTCCTCATGCCTCGTAAGTTACATGTACACGTGTACGGCATTACGACTCGTGACGGACACGAGCTCGCCTGTATGTGGATGTGGGTGAGCCGCGCGTACCTTGCAGTTACATACCTGGTAATAAAGTTGCGGTGTTCGCGGTTCGACGGCTGAGGTTGCGGTTGTGCGGTTGTGCGGTTGCGATTTGCGGGCTTGCGGCTCTGCGGCTTTTGCATTTGCTTGCATTCGCGGCTTGCTTGCGGCTTGCTTGCGGCTCAACAACGCCGAACGACAGGTTGACAACAGCTTTGACTAAAAACCTCAGTCGATCCTCATTTTGCACCACCTTGAATTCTGGAAACCGTGACAGGAAGTGAGCAGTTAGCGTAGCATCCAGACCTCTTCCCCTTGGATGGAAGATGGGGTCTTTGTTTTGTTTAGCCCCTTTTCGTGCCCTGTAAAACCTGTTGTCAATTGCCATGTATCATGGCATGTCATTCCGGGATCCATCATCAGGGACATCGGATGTCGTTGAAATCGAGAATTGTGGATTTTCTTTGTCTTGAGCCGAAGCACATGGAGCTCTTTTGTCGACATCGGTTCGGTTATCCTCGGCTTTAGACAAGCGCGCTCTTTCACCCTTGCCGCACCAAACCAACAAAAAGAAAAAAAGAGACACAAGGACCTTGCGAACGGCGACGGCAACGGCGAGGAAGGCCCCTGAAAACGTTCTTCTCCCTGTTTCTGGTTCCTGATTGGCGAATTTCCAGGGGGAAAAAAAAGGGCATGTTCGTCTCTCTCTCTCTCCCCTACCGCGCGCCGCCCTACCGAGCTGCCAACCAGACTTGTCCTGGGAACCCTGATCAATGGAACCCGTCCACTCGTTCCTGACTGTCTGACAGGGAGTTCGTAGCCCACGAAACAAAAGCTGCCTACCCTAGGGCCTGCAAAATCGTTGTAAAATTGTTTTTTTAACAGCCTACCGACGGGGCTGACCCACTGAAAAAGTCCACTTGCATGGTGCTTGTGGTGCTGTTTTGTTTTTTCTGAGCTTCAGCGTGGAACGGTGAGAGGATCGCGGTGAGACCTTGCTGTCGTTGGAGCACCGTATCTAAGTGTAGTGTAGCAACGAAGGGAGAGATGAGCAGGGAGACGGGTGGTCATCTGGCTTGAAGAGTTCTCACTCTTTTTTTTTTTTTTTTTTTTTTTTTTTTTTTTTTGTCGATTTGATCTCAATTGTGAATTACGATTCATAGAGTCGTTGTCGTTGTGGGTTTGCATACATCCCGCCGTTCAGTTGGTTCCAGGTTTGGTCATTTCGAATGTTTCGTACATAAGAGGTATCGTTCAATAACAGGATGAACGACTGGTCCGAGTTTCACTGTCTGTTTATGTTGGTTGGCATTCGTGAATGTCTCACCAGTTACCAATTACCATCCCCCCATGCGCAAGTCCGTTGCTTCAAGCTTTTTGAGCCTCAAGAGCTGCAAGAGCTGCAAGAAGAGCCTCAACGCATGTCGTCGGACGAAGCGACAACCATTTCACGGCATGATCTTCGTCTCCCAAGCTCCCTCCCAGCTTCACCTCAGAGTCTCAGACACCTCCAGAAAGGCAAGCCTCACAGCCTGGGGGCTGGAGCTTCAACAGCGACACCAGACAGCATCGGATCGTCTTCCAAGACATGTCGTTGGCCGACATGAGACGAACGGTTCCTGACATGGAAGCCGCAAAGCCCTGTCGCCGAGCCCTCAGCGGCTCAGCCCATGCAAAACTGCATCCCGTCCGGTTGTCTGGACCCGCTAGCCCCCGTCCATCATCCCCCCCCCCCCGGTCATCTCACCCCCGGTCCCCGCCGGCGGCCCCATGTTTTCCTTACGTTTTTTTTTTTTTTGCGGAGAATTCCTCGGCGCGCTCCATCGCTGGGCACTTCCACGACGCCGCACAGTCGTCGTCGTCGTCGGCCGACTCCGAAATTCCTCTTTTTCGCGATTTGAGGGAACTTTGGCTATGTACCCGCTAGTGATGAGTGCGGTTGATGTTCAGGCACCGTTCGGCCACGGACAGCCGATTCGACGACGCAGGTACGGGCTAACGAACAGCACACCACTGGGTTCTGTGTGGTGTCCCGTCCAGCGCCACTACAGTATACTTACACTTACACGTGTGGTGGTGGTAATGGGCCCCAGTGCTTGAAACGGGCCATTTGTAACCGACTGGGTGACCAAGGTGTAAGGTTTCACCGACTGTTCGGTATATTCGATGGAAGGGAGAAAGTTCTTCTGGTGCCATCACCGAGTTGTGTCTTGGTGAGAAAGCGGCATCAAGCGGCTTGTCGGACCGTGCCAGGCAGTCTCCGCTCCCGTCCCCGTCTTTGTCGTCCGTCCGGGGACACCAATGTGTCAGCTTTTGAAACCTGCAAGCCATTCGTAATACACTACATACCAGATCTGGTGTTACGGCAGCTCTCGAGCGATGGAGGCAAAGGTTTGTACGCCCCGTTGATCCATACACTATCTACACGTGTAGAGGCAACTGGGTTTATAGTGTAGTAACTCTGTCGATGAACCGGACTGGACCAGATATCGTAAGTTTGGGCAACCTGTAATATCCGTCCATGTTGTTGTTGTTGTTGTTGTTGTTGTTGTTGTTGTCGGGTGCACGCCCCATATCCATCGACGTCGTGGTCGTTGACTTTGACATTTGACCATATCACTCCCGCACAGTCTGGACCTGGCTTCCCTTCAAGTCCTATGTAGCCCCGCAACGGCCCATCTCCCGGACGTGAAGAGGAGTCATTGAGACTTGAGTTTATGAAATATAATGAAAACAACAACGTATGGACCACAGCCCCATTGTGTGATTTCTTTTGCATCTTGCGAGCTCTTGTGCTGGAGCTCCAAGCTTCAGCTCTGTGACTGACAATATCTTACAAACGGTGTCTGTCTCGTCACCACCACCCGTCAAAGCCAGACCAGAAATTCTTTGTCACCATTTGGTTTCCATCTTTCGTTGCTGTGTGACACACCACGGTCGTTGAAGACGCAACATGTTTGGCCCGTCATGGGGCGCTGAATGGCAGGTGATTAGGTAACAGATTAACGGCCTGCATGCACTGCGATGCACCGCATGCGCTGGAAATGCCTTTTTTTTGTGCCGTGAGGCTCAACCTGTGGAAGCACTGCAGCTTCGTCACTTTGTCAAGTTTTAGCTTCTCCGGGGCCTGGGGGCGGGACGGAAATACCGTTTGCGTAGGTATTGGGCATGTAAAATACGTGTACTGCCAGACGGCCGCGCCTAAGACCCATTGACAGGGTTTCCACCCATCTGGTGCTGGCGGGGTGTTGCTATTTCTGTAGATTTAGTTGTTAGTACATGAAGCCATTCAGATGAACGTTAGCTCCCTACTGTACATGTGCTGCAGCAAAATGGGCATTGTGTGTGCGGTATCTACGTCTACTACGGTGGAATCTCCGCTGTTTCGAAACAGGAACCGGATGCAAAGGGATCTATCTCGTGGATCTCCTTGGTCTACTTTGGTGTTTGGGGTCCACGGGAACCTCTTTGGGCAGCGACAGCATTCAAGGACTTCATGAGCCTGACGTAAACCAGGTGGAGGTTTTATGTCTCGCGAGTTTCGATTCTCGACAAATGAATGATGCCCGCTGATCCCTCTCGTCCTGTAGGGCTGTTGTGGCAGATCAGATCCCCTGTCCGTAGGGCTCTGCGGTGAGCGCGAATCAAAGATCCGGACAGCTCGGGCTCGGAGAGCTCGGGGCATTTGTAACAGGCGAAGGGACGGTGAACTGAGGCTTTGTCGGCCGCTTTGGGAATATCGTCAGATCTCAGCCGTACGCGAGGTATAACAAAGCCCGAAATAGAGACGGAAGTCTGCCAATGATGCCGTGCCGCTGGTGCTCGTGACGGGAAATGACAGCCGTATGGAAGTGCCGGCTAAGTATGTACCTGTAGACCGCAACATGTGTACGTATATACTGTATTTTGTGATGTCAGGTATGCTGTGGTTCAGGTGGTGTCCATGTGTCAAAATGCCGGCTCGGGATACAACCACAGGAACTGGTATACCTAGGTAATTGTACCATAATCACCTCTTCTCCAAAACCGACCGAGCAAGGACATCGGGTCTTGGCCCCGTTGACAAGCACGCTGCCCCGGATGAAGCACTGGCGGGACGAATCTTCTTTTCCCCCGGATTTCAGCCTGCTGGGAATGGAGGCACAGAGCACGGAAAGCGGGCAGGACGGCAGGACGGGACGGATGGGGAGGACGGAAAAGAAAGGGGCAGTTGTCTTGTGTGTTCCAGATCTTCGGCGCCCACCCCATTGCATTGGTGACCTGAGGCCCATGTGCGGTGTCCCGTGGCGCTGAATCGGTCTTGGCCGGCGGTAGGATCTCCATGAAGTCATTGTCGCGCTTTTCGGTCGAAACATCGAGAGCCCTTGTGAGTTTCCCATGGCCGGGGTTACGTACCACAGTACATGAGATGAGTGGAAGCTCCACTGAGAATGAACCTAGGAAAATCTCGAAAATTGAAAGCTGTCGGCTGCCCCTGTTGGCTGCCTTGGTTCTCGACCGTTGTAACCATGCCAGCAAGGTGAACGATGCGGTTCCAACAATCCAGAGGATTTTGAAAAATTTTGAGCCGAGCGCCACCGCAAAAGTTGTGCTTGGGGGGTGTTTGTGAGCTAACGTCAATGAACTTTTGTACACATAATTGATGCATGTGGCACTTGGAACACGGCTTATTTTGTATTTGTATGCTCATAGGCCCTCCCACCTGTTAGCGCCACTTTGCAGGACATCCATGGCTTTCAGCGGGCTGTGGTGGGGTTTGTGGTGGGAGCGGAGTGGTGGGGAACCCCTGACGCGGAATCCGGATGAAGAATTGAGAACAGCCCAACAACGACTCGCTGTCACTGTTGGTTTTTTGATGTTCATTTCAGTGAGAAAGTCAAAGTTTCCAAATAGAAGCTCTATCCAACACAAAACCATCGGATGCAAGGAAGAACCGTCTTATCTTTATCTTGTGCTTTCGGAGATCACCTAAGGACACAGCAGATCCGGTCAGATCCGCGTCACACTCGTCAGAACTCCCTGGAGTTTGTAATTGCGGGTCAATGTTGTACATAGTGTAATGAGAACGACCGACTGGAATCAATAGGAGAAAGTCATCACGATGAACTGAACCCCGGACGGCGGGCCTGCACTTGAAGTTAGGTAGACACACCACCGCACAGGTAGGTATCGTGTGAAATTTTCAATCTTTCTCATTAGCGCCTCCTTGCCACGGTAAATATGGTAACTTACACCCAGTCACTTGGACAATTCGGACGGCAGCTTGTGTGATACCTACTCAACCGGCAATTGACACCCATACACAACCCAGCTTACTGTATCCCGCTGTCAATATAAAGATGGGAATAACGCGAGCATGAATCAGCTTCTTCCCGAGACAAAGTGCCATGTTGTTGAAGCTCCCACCGTGCCGACGCTGCAGGCGAGGCATTGGTCAAAAATACAGGTACCATCCATGGTAACTTACATACCATGTCTTACACTACATGGTCCCTGGCTCCGGTGGAGTCCCAAGTTCCGGTAGCAGATGCCGTGGAGAGCCCAGACTGCGTGCTAGTACCGCAGTTACGAGCGACTTTGGTAAGCTAGAACAAGAACCTGGACAAGCGAGGAAAAAGGAAACAAAGAGAAAATGGAGCCACAACCACACGCAGGGCGGCCTTGTTGTTGCGTTAGCATGTGGTTGACGCCAGGGCCCAGGTCCTTGTAGTTCCTTTTCGAGGTCCTTGTGACATGACACATAATTACTCGATGGAAATGCCTTTCTTACCAGAGTGGACGTCAAATACCTTTATAACCTTCTTGATCCCTTAAGTTGTTTGTTCCTGGCCTTGCTTGCTTGCTTGCTTCTACCTTGCGACGTTTGTTTTGATCTGTCATCTATTTGTCTTTTTGCTCTTATATACCCCATACATACCCCCCGCCTTTGCTCCAAGTCACCATCATACCAGCAGCGTGCACTCATCTCCACATCCAACTGTCACCAAAGCATATCTTTGCGCAAGGTACGTACCAACTTTTTTACTTGTACAATCTGGTACAACCAGGGAGTCTCCCTCCCTCGACATTCGATGTGCGTACACCAATATGGTATAGCATGTCATTGGATTTCCATGTGGCGCCATACTGACTTGGACACTTTCTAGTGTTACGACAACCTCACTTTCCACCTCATAAGACAAGCATATCTCACCTCGCCCTCTACGAGCTTTTCCGAACCTCCAGCTGCTCGAGTCAGTCAAGACCAGCAAAACGAACAGACACACTCCGACCCTCCGCATTGAGACGACGTCATTGCATTATTCGAGCCTGGGGATTTCAGTTCCGTCCCCCTCAACGCCAACAAAAACAGGGCATCGTTGCAACTTTTTTTGGGGGTGGACATTGGAGACTTGAAGTGCATCGACACCAAGCTGGATCGGGAAGAGTTGGCGCACCTACGGCATACATACACACACACACACACACACACACACACCAGTCATTGTCGCAATTCGACCTAAAAAAGACTCGACAGATCTTGTGACGATCGAAAGAAAAAGGTAGAGGTAGTATTCGCGGGACGCAACATCAGCCGACCAGTCGACCACCGCTTTCGCTACCGCACCTTGGCGACCCTTGGAGTGTTTTCTCTATAGCGAATCCCCTTACAGCAATCGCAGCAACCGACTTACAGCGCACCTTTCCCCCCGCAGTAAGCAGGGGTAAGAACCACCACCACCACCACCACCATGCCACACAGAGTTGTCGATTTTCTGAGGTCGTCGGCCAACACACTAGAGTTCCAGGTCTCGACCTTTACAAAATCCACCAAGACTTCCCGAAGGCGCGAGAGTCCGACAGGCGCTGCTCGCGTTGGTCAAGGTAGCACAGAGCGCGTTGCGTATGCCTCGAGCGAAGAAGACGACAGCAGTAACAACAGCAGCACCGCCACCGCGACGCTACCACGATCTCCTCTGTTAAGGAATGCCGATTCCTCGGATAGCGCACACACCACCAGCTCAACGTCTAGCACTAACACGAGCAAAGAGGTCGCTAACGCCAAGGATCACCACCACCACCACCATCACCACAAAGAAAAGGACCACCATCATCACCATAGGATATCCTTCCCGGGCATGCACTTCGGCCGCTCCAGCAAAGATGTGCACGCCCACGCGCCCGCCTCTCTCGACTGGAAGCTTGAGTCGCCGCCAATTGTTCTCTACAATGACCCAGAAACCTCCACTGGCGCGCTCGTCTCGGGCCAAATCTTCCTCAACGTCAAGGAGGACCACGACCTGCTAGACGTCGAGTCCATCAACGCCACACTCCAGATTCACGTTACGCAGAAACGACCCTTCACTCATCACTGCCACGACTGCACCCACCAGTACACCGAGATCAAGAAATGGCAGTTCCTCGACCACCCTCTCGTTCTCGCCAAGGGCCGCCACTCCTTCCCCTTCTCCGTCTTGCTCGAGGGTCACCTACCAGCAAGCATGGACGCGCCCCTTGCTTCCATCGCCTACGAGTTCAAGGCCGAGGCCGTTACCAAGGTCAATGGCACTCTGCAGCCCGCCATCAAGTTCGAAAAGGTGCTCGATGTCAAGCGCTCCCTTGGCTCCTCCGAAGTCCCCCACCACTCCATCCGCGTCTTCCCGCCCACTAACATCAAGGCCAACGTGCACTACCCCCATCACATCCACCCCACGGGCACCAACACGCTCCAGATCCGCCTGGACGGGATCGCTAGGCTCAACCCCAAGGTCGGCACCATGGAGTACTGGAAGCTCAAGAAGTTGACGTGGAGGCTCGAAGAGATGTCCAAGTCCCTCGCTCCAGCATGCGATAAGCACGCACCCAAGCTGCCTGTCCCTCCTGCCCCCGCAGCAGAGGGCAGCGACGCCCAGCCTCAACCACCCAAGGGCCTTCCCAGAACCGAAACCCGCATCATCGGCGAGAAGACCATCTTCTCGGGCTGGAAGTCGTCCTACTCCTCGGCCACCGACTCGCACATCGAGCTCGAGCTCGACTACCACCTCTCCAAGTCCCACTCGTCTCCCGCAGTTTGCGATACCCGATGGACCACCCCCGGCACCTCGACCTCCTCGCACGAGGTCTCGCATCAGCTCATGGTCGAGATGGTCGTGTCGCAGGAATGGGCGCCGGTCGGCAAGCCCAACCTGGTGACGCATACCGGCGTTGGCCGAATCCTGAGGATGCACTTCTCTTCCATCCTCACGGAGCGCGGCGGCATTGGTATCTCGTGGGATAACGAGGCGCCTCCCATCTACCAGGATGTCCCCGAGAGCCCGCCAGCTTACTCGGAGCTGATGATGGGTGGGGAGTCGATGGACGGGGTGGTGGAGAGCGACACGCTCATGTTGCCCAGTGGGCTGGGAAGTGCCACTGCGAGCGGGCGGTCGAGCGCCGTGTCTAGCAGACGGGGATCGGCTGAAATGCAAAGGAGGTGAAGAGCCCTGATGCAGCCTTTTGGCCGCTTGTGTGGGAGCATCAAGAGCATGAGCACGTTTAGGGTGCAGGTTGAAGTGAGGGTTGAGGTCGGGTTTGATTACTTTTTGGGCTGTTGGATCACGACTTTTACGAGTCTAAATTGCGGGCGGCGATTGCCTGCTTCGACCTCGAGCAATTCTCTCGCATGACGACTTTTTTTTTTCCTTTCATTTCTTTTGTTTATAGTATGTGTGGTTTCAACATTATACCCCCCTCCTTTGCACAGGCGCCGGTTTGGAATGGGTTTGCGGAGGTGACATTACGCACCCCAACCGGTTTGGAGAGCACTGGCAGGAAGTTTTGTTTTAAGGTTTATTTTTACTCCTTTTGTATTTTTGGTATTAGACGAGGAGGAGGACAAGAAGGGATGAAAAAATTGGGGGTGGCTGGGATAGGAAATGACTGGAAGGGAAGTCAAAAAGTTGTTGATTGTCTGGGTTTTACTTTTGTGTGTAGTAGCATTGCTGTCTTCAACACAGCGGCTGGCATATTCAAGTGGCGTTTAGGTACACCTCTAGAGAGGGATCAAAAGAAAGAATCGAATGGGGCTGACTGCCTGTTAGTGGCATATGAACACATCATCATCATTCGAGTACCTACTAGTTTTGATATAAGCATCAAGCAGGAAGCAGGAAGCATGAAGTATAGGTATGAAGCCATCTATCTACAACTGCATATCCTAGAGCGTTGAACAAACCTAATGTGAACGATGGAACGTAAACTCTACAATACCTTACTCTGTCAATAAATCTACTTGACCAAACTGCCCCTGCCTGTAAGTGCCATGACCTGATCTGACCGGACCTGACCTGACCTGACCTGACCATAAGTGCTGGTACTATGAGCACCAGCGCACAAGGTTAACATTCGACATTTGATGTTCACTACCACCAGAGTGTCAGAGTGCCAGAGTACCAGGAAGTCAGGATGCTATGGAACAAGTAAGTAATCTATGTGACTCAGTGACTTAACAGCCCATCCAGCATGGTCACCCAACAAAGACTGGAGCTCATCCATGTCATTGACGATCAGCAACAGCGGGCAGTCCAGTCTCTTCACTTCCTCCAGTCAGCCAGTCTCGAGCTCCTCTCGAGCTCCTCTCGAGCAGCTCCTGTCTCGGACGTCAAACCACGAGATGAGGGGTGAGGGGTGAGGAGGAGTGGTTGGATAAGTTGAGATAGTCTCTATCACATGACCTCCATCGACCTCGGTCAGTGGACCCGTCCCACAATAAATAATGTGGGTCTCCCCTCCTCGAATGAATGTGAGGGGGCTGGTCGGGTGGGGTTCGGAGGTGTGGGTCTGAGACAGACTATGGTTGAAGTGGTTGGAGTGGAACCTGGGTTGTTTTGGAGGAGATAAAACGGCTTTGCGTAAAGTGTTGACACTTTGATACGTACTGCATCCCTTGTAACGCCAAGCGTCCAAGTTTGTTTTTACGGTTCTCCGCTTCCGCTCAATAAAATATTGAGAATGTTAGAAAAAAATTCGCGTGATATAAAATCTATTAGTAGTTAGCAATTAAATGTAGTACTGGATAAAAATGACTATGTTGATATAATATTATATGATAATATTATTACTTATTTATATAATTTTGTACAACCTTAGTTTTTAATTAAAGTCATTTAAAAAAAACAAATCTTATTATTTACAATAAAATTGAATCTAATTTATTAAAGATATAAGTTTTGTATACTAAACCCTAAAGATGTTAATTACTACTTAATTTCAATTATAACTATTTCTATTAATAGAATTATTAATCTGAAAAAAATAATAAAAAAATTGAAATACTGCCATAGCGCTAGCCAACTACTACATCACTAGTGTCACAGGTTGACATTGGCTATATAGTATGCATTTTGAGTTCTGCCTTACAAGCAGAACATCATCCTATCTTTTGTAGGTTTGGCCGTTTGGGCATATGCACCCTAGCCTGTTATAACTAAGCTATGTTCTAAAAGAATACAACTAACCTGTTATGGCGTAACCAGAGGACACGTTGTGTACGATTTGATTAACTTGAACTAAGAATAAGAAGCTAAAGAGGGAAGAAATCCTAAATGAGAAGGCTTGATGCCAGAGCTAGTGGCCCCTGGTGCATCGCAGCCTTGCAAGCCAGAGCAACAACAATTCCAAACGTATCTCGTTCTTGCTTTGGGTGGACAACAACATTGTTTGTAGCCAAAATGACGGAATGGCATAATGCGCATATACTGTGCATATTAGGGAAATCTCGTGCAGCCTCGTTGCAGGGGCAAGTATGGGGGCAGTAGAGGCCTTCTCTGTACTGCCCGCAATCTGAGAACAAACGCAGTCTTGGTATAAGTAGCTTTAGAGCCTATTCTCTTGTTCTGCATGAAACTTCACTCTTTAGGCAATTTGAACTTGGCAATAACCACTTGACACGACGTAAGTACACACACTGCACTACACGTACTAGAGGAAGGTACCTTGGGTACTTAGACAATAGGTAACTCCATTTCGTCATCACGATCTTGGGGTTGGGGTTCTCCACAGATCGTAGCCTAGTGTAAGTGTAAGATAATATACCTACCTACCAGTCACTGGGGCAGTACTACCTACACGTACCATCCGGTCTTCCGTCTGTGTAGCTAGGGTAAGGTACCTGGGAGTTGGAGCATGAGTTCTGGGAGCACCGGGCCAGATTCAACCGAAGCCATCCGGGACCGGCGGTGGTGGTGCCACAAGCTTTAGCTAGTGTAGTTCGTTGCCAGTCATGCTAGTGTCAATGCGGTCCGGTCTCTCCCACAGGGGCTGAGGGGAGAGCTGAAGAGCTCCGGAAGGAAACCTACTGAAGTGGATGAGAGGATGGAAGATGGGATGTTATGGACGTTATGGTGAGGTCATTGTCGTGGTCAGCGCGGGGTTGGTGAGCAGGCAGAGGTCACTCATCAGTTTGAGGCTCTTTGCTGTTTGATTTGTCGGTTCACTCTTTACTCTTCAGCTCTGGTGTCTTGATGTTTCGAACTGCAGTGCCAATTCTCAAAAAAAGATGCCTTGCTAAGAAACCAACGGCCAGGCGGCAGGCGTGAATCTTGCCGGATCTTGCCAGCCGGCATCCCAGCTCTCCAAACCTGGAAACCCCACCTTTCCGCTTTGAGGCGGGGGAATCTTATCGATAAGCACCTCCAGTTCGCCGCCGCGGTTAGTCACCCATCTGCTGTCAATCGATTAGGCGACTGCATTCAACTGCTGTGCATCTGACCGAACCCCCAACAGCATCAATTGACTTTCTTCAATTGGATGACTCTTCTCCAGTCCCTGCAATCCAAGCTTCGACTCAGCCGGCGAGAAGAACTTCACCGAAACTGTCGATCTTTCTTCACCGTCTAGTCACAGACAGACTGACTCCTCTTCAAGGCATACAAGAAGGCGCACACACTCCAGCCTTTACTGTTGCCATTGATCATACTCCATAATTCCTTTTGCATCAGGTTTTAGTTTTGCGTCCATTGTTCTATATTGAAGCTCTTTACCTATCATTACCGTCAGACCAAAAGACCGTCTCAACCATTACCAGTACCATCTGCCTACCTCCACATCCGTACCAATATACAATAACCTTTCGTCCTAACTCTTCCTTCCGGCCCAATGATTCTTAGGATATATCTTTTACTTGTGTGATCTACTAAACATTTGGTTCTTGACCCTCCTATTACTACTCACCTCCCCGACCGCAGCACGCCATCTCCAGATCAGGAGACACAGACGACGAAGCAGCCATCATGGCATCAAAACAGGCACCGCACGAACGACGAAAAGGCGAAGCTGCCCTTAGCGACTTTGCCGAGTACGTCGAGAGACAGCAGGCATTGCGCTACCCGAACAAGGCTACCCAGAGCCAGATCGCGATAACAGCAACAGCAACAGCAACAGCAGGCGCAGGCGCAGGCGCAAGCTCAACAGTAACAACAACAATAACAGACGCCCCCAAAGTCGAACATCATGCCGAACTCGACGACATCCTCGACAGTCTCAATCTCTCCGAGCCCGGTCCGCGAATAAGACTGCGCGACCTCCTTCTGTCCGCGCCTGACGATGACGCCTCCCGCCAGAAACTCGCCGACATTATTGGGGAGCGGCTAGACGAAGGCCACGGCGAGTCCGTCTTCGATATTGGCTTCGAAAACCACGGCGAGAGCATGAAGTTGACCAAGGAAGAGTGGGAGCTGGCATACAAGAGGTTATCGCAGGTCGCGGCCAAGATCGACGCCGATTGCCAGCTGTTGTTGACTAAGAACCTGGGCTCGGGCGACCTCGACGGTACCCCGACCCGCGACGGCGACGTAAGCGGCAAGGTGATGATCCGACGACGCCCGTCGGCAGCCGAGGAGGTGATCGAAACACGAATAGCAGTCGTGGGCAATGTCGATGCCGGTAAATCCTCCATGTTGGGTGTCCTGGTCAAAGGCGACTTGGACGACGGCCGCGGTCGCGCGCGCGTAAACCTCTTCAGGCATAAGCACGAGATAGAGACCGGGCGCACTTCGTCTGTCGGCATGGAAATTATGGGCTTTGACTCGCACGGTCAGACCGTCCTCTCTGACACTCCCGGTCGCAAGCTCTCGTGGGAAGAAATCGGCAAGCGCAGTGCCAAAGTCATCACCTTCACGGACTTGGCGGGCCACGAGCGCTACCTGAGGACGACCGTCTTTGGCCTGTTGTCATCGTCGCCAAACTACTGCCTGCTAATGGTAGCAGCCAACAATGGGCTAATAGGCATGTCCAAAGAGCACCTGGGTATTGCCCTGGCGCTAAACGTGCCCATAATGGTGGTCATCACCAAGATCGACATTTGCCCGCCCAACATCCTGGAACAGACCATCACCCAGATCACCCGCATCTTGAAGTCTCCCGGCGCGAGGAAGATTCCGATTTTCATCAAGAGCCGCGAAGAATGCATCAACACGGCCACACAGTTCGTTTCCCAGCGCATATGCCCCATTTTCCAGGTATCCAATGTCACGGGCGAAAATCTGGACCTGGTCCGCGCGTTCCTTAACATCTTGCCGCATCACGGACGGTACGACGCCGACGCGCCGTTCGAGTTCCACGTTAACGACACTTTCAGCGTTCCCCATGTCGGCACGGTCGTCTCGGGTATCGTCAAGTCGGGTGTGATACATGCGGGCGATGAGGTTTACTTGGGTCCGGATGGCTTGGGCAGGTTCACGACTACAGCGATTAGGTCGATTGAACGCAAAAGGATAGGTGTGCCCGCGGCGAGCGCAGGCCAGTCGGCGAGCTTTGCGTTGAAGAGAGTGAAAAGGAAAGATGTGCGTAAGGGCATGGTGGTGTTGTCGAAGACTGAAAGTGGACCGCCAAAGGTTTATAGGGAGTTTGTTGCTGAAGGTATTTCCCCCTCCCTCCTTTCCCTCCCCTCCTCCCTTCAAAGCTCAATATACTAACCACCCACCGCAGTTTTGATCCTCTCCCACGCAACCACCATCAAAACCAAATACCAGGCCATGCTCCACGTCGGCCCCGTCTCCCAGACCTGCGCCATCATCGACGTCGACCGTCCGTTTATCCGAACCGGTGACAGAGCCACTGTCGCGTTTCGGTTCGTCCAGAGACCCGAGTATCTGGTCCCGGGTGACAGACTGCTCTTTAGAGAGGGCAGGACCAAGGGGTTGGGTATTGTCAAGAGTTTGGGGTATGATCCCGAAAGACCGTTGGGTGGGGTTAGTGTGGACGAGGGGGGTGAGAAGGGCGCTGGTGGCGTTGAGGATGAGGAGGAGGGGAAGGTTGGTGCTTGATGTCTTGCTTAGTAGTAGTCCTGGTTTGGGGCTGGGGAATGAGGATACGGTGTTGGATCTTTGGATTCCTTTCTTTGTGGCATGGCATCATCTCGTTGTTGTTTTGGTATTTCATCTTCAGAGTGGCGCACTCGGCGCACGGTACAGTACTACTGTCATATTTATTATAGTCACAGTTTCGAGGAAAAGCATTAACCCACTTGTTTTGTAAGTTACATAAGCAGACGGTAACTCTTACCTCAAGCGCATATAGTACCTCTTCGTTGTCTGAGCTGTGATTCTTCTTCCAGCCGCACGAACAACGGTCCTGGGTGACTAGAGAGGCATCAAAGGAAGCAAGCTCCATGACCATGGCCGGGAATGGGAATAACAATTGGTATGGTATATCTGTGCTGCCGTGATCTCTATCTCTTGCGGCTCCCAATGACAAAACAAACGATAAGCATGAATGATGTGATATGATGATGATGATGATGATGATGATGATGGATGGCGATAGCCACGTCTAAAACCTAGCCATCCTCCCTCCCTCCTTTCTCCTTCCTCGTTTCCTTTTTTTTTTAACCCGGGCATGTTCGAGGTTCCTGCATTCTGTATTCGGGTTGTCCCACACACAGCGAGTCTTAGCAACCGCCCATTTCCACATCATCCACCCGATACCAACCCTCGAATACTGATGGCGGCGCAGAACCCCAATTTGAAGTGGAAGCTTGGGATGACCCTTCCCCTTCCCCATTCCGATTCCGATTCCGATTCCCACGCCCACGCCCCTGACCCTCCTGCATGTGCTCATCCCTACCATCAACCCCTCCCCAAAATTGCGCCTCATCCGCCTCATCCCCCACCACCACCTGCTGCACCAACTTCCACTTCATGTTGCCAACGGGTAACTGCTCTCGTCCAACCGGGCCGGCAAAGAATTTGTGGACGCCGTAGCGGTGGCGGAAATGGTGCTCGTCGGTGACTGGTACTGGTACTGGTACTTTCTTCCCGGTATCGGTATCGGTATCGGTATCATCATGCATGTACATGTACACGACCTCTTCTCAAGATCGGGTATAAGGCGAGATGAGCACGACCGAGTCGCCGCGGACGAAGAGCATTTCGGATTTGCGGGAGATGGTCTGTTTTTTGTTTGTTAGCATAGGGGCGGGGGGGAGAAGATAAAGATTGGTGCGGAGGAGGTCTGACCTTCAAATCATCCTCATCGGCATCTTCATCGTCAACAACGTAAATGGTCTCTTCGACTTCTCCGAGGACTAGGTTGCAATGGGAGTCGTAGGCCTATTGTGTATGTTACAGTCAGTCAGCATGTCAGTCAGTAATGAGAATGAGTCCAGCTCATCATGAAGTGTGAAGGTGAGGTGGGTGAGCATCAACTAAGGGATAAGGGAGAAGGCTTGATTTGACTTGAACTTACGTGCAAACGGCCCTTGAGCTCGCGATCACCTCTCAGCTTGACACAGACAACCTCATCAAGCAAAAGGCGGACGAGGTCCATGGGCTCGGAAACGGAGCCGGCATCTTCTACCGCGTCGGCCATTTTACGTTATGTGTTAAAGGACCCACAACGGATAAATGAGTGAAGTGAAGAAAGTAAATGAAGTAGTTGTGTCGTTATGTTTCTGTTGTTCTTGTTGATGGACCTGCCCTGGAACGATGATGAGTGACAGTGAACGGCGGGGGGGTTGGTTGCCTGCCCGATCAATTGCAAGCAGTGCCAGCTGGTCGCATGCCAAGCAAAAGAGCAAGGTGACGCACGAACCACGTACTAACCCTCGGTGGTTCTTAAACGCTTATGTCAGAGCTTCGATTGGGCAAGGTCTTGGCAGGAACATGCACCACAAAGTTGGCAGGCCTTCCCCGGATTTGCAGGCATCCCGTCGCGAGATCCATTGCACTTCTCCTCTTTTAGTTAGCGGGGGGTTGACTTACACCTCGAGTCTCGACTTACACCAACACCAGCTTCAACACCACGAACAAGACGACGAGACGGAAGACGAGCTTCAATTGCGGACGAGAGATGTCAATGGCAGTGTTATAGTACACAGGTACCCTTCCAATGGCTCCCCTCGTCTCGTGTCGCGGGATTCGAGTCCCTCTGAAATCTCGACAAACAACCGCCGTCAAGCTACCACGGAAGCTCTCCCATTCCACCACCCAACAAGCAAAACCCATATCGGCGATCCCATACCCAGGCGACTTTATCCATCATGGCTTCGGTCACCAGCTTGAAGAAGAAAGACAACCCCTCGAACAAGACGAGCTCCTCCTCCTCCGAACCCTTCTGGCGAGACCTGTCGCAAAGAAACCATCGCCCGCAAAACGATCGCCATGGATAGACGGCTTCACGGGAGCCTTCAGACAGCCACAAAAGATGCTATCCTACTTCAAAGAGAACAAACTCGAAATCCTACAACTTCCGCCGACAGCTTTCAGCGAACTTCTCCGGTCCGTTGACCCCATCGAAGCCATCCGCAAAGACCAAGACCCGCTAGGAGACATCTGGGTCGACCCAGTCATGGCCGACTGGTCGCCACTAGGAGCTCTGGTCAACAACTACGGCATCAGGAAAAGAAACACCGCTATCTACCCCCTCGTTCACGAAGCCGCCTTCCGTCGATTCCGGGATGGCTCTCCTCTTCTCCTGTCCGACTACAAGGTCTTGCTCCGCTACGCCGGCTCGATCTCGGACCCTATCCTAGCCCGCAAGATCTGGTTCCACATGAACGTCTCCGAAAAGATGTGGGAGCGCCATACGGGCATGTACGCCGAGTTTCTCAAAGCCCGGTTCTTGACGGAACCGCTGTACACCCAAAACAACCGACACGACTTCCGCGTCAAGCCCGTGAACCTGTTTCCTGAGAAGCGGTTTCTGCCGTACTTCACGCCTGATAACCTGTCGCAGCTGCGCCAGATGAACTTTGACGAGACCAACAAGCGGCTGGACAAGTTTGGACAGAATCCCGGTGCTGAACACAAGGTGGAATACCTGATGAGGATGTTACGGCGGAGTTCACCTATTGATCTCGTTTTCGGGACTGCAAGAAACAGGGTACATCTGCTTTCAGAAGAGTTTATCTGCGCTGCGATGATAGCCTACGCCAGAACGGGAGTGATGGAAGACGTCCAGTCTGTTCTCTGGTTCAATTACAAGATCGACGTCACGGGGTCCATCGAAACCGGCGACTTGAGCATCACCGGCGGGCGGCGGGACTTCTTCCCCGGTTCACCAATGGCGCCTACCACCCGTCTTCTACAAGCCATCGCCACATGTTACGGCTCAAACGGCATGATAGCCATGGCATGCAAGATGCTCGATCACGTATCTGCCGCGTACAAGCTTCCAATCCCCCCCATTGGTGTGGTTTGAGCTCCTAGAATGGGCCTACATCCACACCTCCCCGCGCGCAGCAAAAGAGTGGAAGACAGTTTCCATCCCCGGCCGCCGTCTGCATAGGAACGCTGTCCAATTAATCTGGGACACCATGACTTCTCCGCCGTATAACGCCACGCCCGGTTTTCCGCAATACAAACTCTACGTGGAGTGGTTGATCAAGAACAACAAGATCGACAAAGCAATCCAAATCATGCTGGACCTCGAACCTTTATATCGCAAACAAGTAGAAGAGTTGCAAGCTCTTTACCCGTTTCACGCACTAGAGCAGGCAGCTTTTGGGCACTCCCCAGCGGCGCACTGGGACAAGACCCTGCTCAAAAAAGATTACATAGTCCACACCTTTGCCAAATGGTTCTCGTTACTTTTGAAGAGGATCAAATCCCCCGTTAACCTCCCCGGCGGCCCGAAACCACCCAAGATTTTTGTATCACATGACATAAGCACCCGTCTAATTCCGCAACTCATCCACGCTTTTCAGGGACTACTTCCAGATACCATCCACTACGAGATCCCGACGGGCATCATAAGATTCAAGCGCGGCGTTGGTGCTCCTCAAGGTTTCAGGGCAGAGAAAAGGTGGACAGAAGTAAAAAAAGCGGCGGTGGTTAGTATGGATTTGAGACCGGAGACTGCAAGGAAATTCAATCGGTTGAGGGAGCGTAGTTTGGATTTGCAGGGCGAGGAACTGCAGAGGGCGGCGGGGGAGACGGTGGAGACGCTGAGGGGGAGAGATAGGGCTTTGGATGAAAGGAGACTGGGGGTGGAGGGGTTGGTTGAGGAGATTTTGGGGATAGTGGATGAGAGGGCTAGGGAGGGGGTTAGGGACTCGGAGGTGGATTCGATTGTGAGGCGAAGGGGAAGGAGTCTAGAAGAGGAGGCGAAGAAGATGGAGAGAAAGAGGGCGGAGAAGGTGTTGAGGTTGTTGACTTAGGGGTCGGGTCGGAGGGTGGACAACATGAACTGGTGGGTGAAAAAGGCACATGTATGGGCTGGGTGTGGTGCTGGCTTTGGTGCTCGAGGCGTTGGGTTTTGTATGATTGATAACGATTTCATGTTCGGTTCTTCGATGAGTTAGATACCCGAAAAACGTAGCGTGCACTGTGCGTTGTCCCTGTGTTTGGATGCAATATATTCTTTCCCAAGATACCGATGTGTTCCAGGAGGTTCTCCAAGATGCTATCCCGCTCGCTAGGTAACTATGCTAGTCTTCTCGGCCATATCGTACGTATGTATGTATGCAATATTTCTGCTCTCGACCTTTTATTAACTCCTCCAAAGACATTTCAAACAGCCCTACCTACCTACTCTTTGACCTTTGCAGCAACACTGGCAGCTTCAACCTTTTCCAGCACCAGGCTATTCACATACATATACCTCGACAGTCCAATCCACCCATACCTGAACCACCTCATCTGGCTCACATGCGCCTGCGTCATGGCCTTCCACGCTTTATCCACGCTCGCCCACCCTGCACCACCAGGTACCAAGTTATTCATAAACACCAACGCCCCCGGCCGTTCCTGCTTGTCCTTTCTCGTGATGCCCGCTGACCACACCCATTCCAGCAGGGTAGGAAGGGCGTCGAGGATCCCGCTGTACTTCCTGGAAATGTCTAGCGTGGGAAGTGTGTAGATATCGACCTGCCCTTGTCCCTTTCCCTCTTTGTTTTTTCCAGTCGTAGCAGCCAACAACTGGCTCACAAACAACCGTGCACCATGGTACAAAGAGATATGATTCGGATGTCCCGAGATTCCGTGCTGATCAAAGGTGATAATCATGTCAATCGTCGGCTTCACCATCTCTCCTTTCCCATTTCTCTTCTTGCTGTCTTTCGATAATGCTGTTCGGGAGGTAGAGCTGCTGACGGCAGCAGCAAAAGCCGGGTTGGTGGCCTCAATCAGCTCGGGAGCGAATGCTGATGCTAACAAGTGCGAGATGCGCTCCGGGTCCCACGTCGTGGTCATGCTATCGGGAAAAAAGGGAGAGTCGATCACGAAGACGTCCGAGGCGGAGCGCAGGCCGAGGAGGACGCCGGATTTGGCGAGTTCGCGCTTGCGCGTGGGGCCGAGGCCTTCTGCGTCGCCTGTTTTCGATATTTGTTAGCATTGGAACTAGGATAGAATCGGGAGACGGGATAGAAGGGGCGGTGGTGATTAAACGTAAGATAAGCAAGGTAAGTAAAGCTCGGAGAAGCTGGGGATGCGCCAAAATGGCAGGAATGCGTCCATCGCGCGGATAGCAGACCCCACAGGCAGTAGAGCACCAAGGAGACAGGAACCTCAACAGTCGACATACCACTACTCAAACACAGAATCTTGACATGGTTCCCCGTCTCCGGCCTCGTGAGCGCCAGCACCGTCGGCGCAAAGAACATGGCCTCATCGTCTGGGTGGGCAATCAGCAAGCAGATCCGCTTGTTGCGCAGGACGGGAAACCGGGTGGCGACGATGGAGACGGTGTAGATGTAGAGCGAGGGAATGACCACGGCGGCTAGGCCGAGGGCTGTTAGCCAGTTCATGGCTGCCGTTGTCGTGGTCCGGGATTTAGTTGTTGGGAGGAGGCGGAGGATGATGGTTGGGAGAAGTCCAAGTTGTGGTAGCGTCATGGGCGCGGTGGTGCAGTGGTCCCCTGAAGCTGGAGCTTTGGGCGCTGAGGCAGGGATCTGTTATCTTATCGCTGCCGGGCCCGCTTGGGAGGTGGGGGGCGGATTGTGGGGGAGTGGAGGCCGAGGCTACAGCCTACAGAGAGGTGCCTTGAGGGCCTCCTATGTACAACTGTACTAGTCTCTGGTACAGTGGCTGCTGTCTACGGGAACCCCAAAAAGAAACACGGAGGTTGGGATTAAATTTCCCCACCATCTAGTACCAGCGGAAGCTAATCATACGGAACGGCAAGGGCCGACGGAGAGGTGTGGTGGGATGGAAGACAAGGAGGGATGGAATGTCTTGCACGAGGTCACAAGGCTTATTGCTGTGTACACTAGTTGGGTACCTCTATAGAACAGCCAGTGAGCACTTGTCCACAGGCAATGCAAGGGAATCCATTTGTGTCGAGTCTGGAAGCATCACTACCCGATGACCGCCATCGAGAATCAAGTTTTTTGAGACACGTCTCGTAAGTTGAACTACTTACCCCTCATCCTTGACTTGTGTTCACTGAAAGGTCTCTTAGTATCACCTGCAGTCTTGTTTAGATGCAGGCAACCGAGTGGCTGTCGAGGCTGTAGAACCCCGGAAAACGAGGAACAATTCTGTAGCCTTGCACAGGAAAGGTACCGTACATGGTTGCCTTTCTCTTCCCATAAGCCTGGACAATCGGAGAATATGTTGGATATAGCCAAGAACTCCATAGATGACGGCCAGCGAGCAAACATATGTAGCGGGTATAGTATCATGTATTGGTGGAGATGTCGTGGTTAATTAAATGTCTTGTCGACAACCTTATCGTCCAAGTGGGGCAGTTGCGGAAGCTACCCGACCTTAGCGGTCGACCCACTGAAGCTCCATCATTGAATTGAATTCCATCGCATCGCGTCTTCCATTCCATCCGTCGTCATCAATTCCGTCCTCTTCCACTTCAACTTCTTCATGCCTTGCCCCCAGAGCCCCAATACCTAATTAATTGTTAAACCACCACAATGGGCCGAAAACGCGCAGAGTCACCGTCCAACATCAAGTTCCAGCACCCCGACCGCAGTGGACCCAAGGAAAAGACGCTCCTGGAACTGGCCGAGGAAAGGGGCTCTTTGCACAGGCCCAAAAGAAACAGGAGGAAAACGACAAGACAAAAGCAAAGATCAAGAAGATACCCATCAAGCCAAATGAGGGAAATGACGGCGAACTACTCTCCCCTGGAGCCGAACGCTTCCTCGATACCACCCTCTACACCATCAGTCTGACCATGCTGCACTTCACTTTGGACGTCCTCGTCCAAAACCAATACTCTGTCGATCGCATCGTGTGGCCCAAGGTTTGGACGAGGGCACTCCAAGCCTTGTTTGGTATGTCAAAGCATACACACGATAATTAATGATCAAGAGGCACTGACGTCTTCTGCCGCCCTCAACCAGTCTTTGGCCTCCTCATCTACACCCTCCACGCCCACTCCTCGAACCCGACCATCCTTCCTGGCCTACCTGCCCGCTTCCAGAACCACGCCCGACAGGTCATCTTCTCGGTCATGAGCGTGTGCTCGGGATGCTACCTGATCCACATCACAAACACATACGGATACCTAGCAGTCATGAAGCAAGCGCCACCAGTCGGTTGCCTGTGGGTGTGGTCCGTCATTGAACTCCAGCTCCCTTGGGCTGTCCTCAGTCTGGCAATTGCTGGCACATATCTCAAAGTCAGAGGTTATGACATCAAGTGAGATGGTCTGGTGGTCAGCACGGAGGAACCTGAGGTGCTCTGGACTGTTCTGAGGGTGTTCTGGGGGCCAAGCAAACCGGTTGTGTTCGGCAGGAGGGTTGTGGCGTTGGTGTCGGTGTCGCGTTACGCAAACGGTCCATACGTTACGTGGGAACCGGTCAGCACTCTATCCCACGAGGCAGACGCCAAAGAAGCCACAAGTAACCATGTCTGCAGTTTTAGTGATAGTAGACGACCACAAGAAAAGGCGACGACACACACGGCAACCATGCAGCAACACAACAGGTTCGGGCGTTAACATTCATATATCCCCTTCAAGCCCTGTCGTTGTTTACATTGCCCATGCATGTTCTTATCAAACCCCCTGCTTGCAACCAATTTCTTTTACACTGGCTCAATGCTAGTCTGACCTGACCTGACGGCGGCGGTGTAGCAAATGCAAATGCATTTCAAACAATTGGGTCCGACTGATGGTCCCCTTCTTTCATCATCACCCGAACCACGTCAACCACTGGCGGGTCTTCCCGGCCCACCATGTCAGATATCGTTGGACCGTATATGCGAGGCTAAGACGATGAGCGCTGCAATGCAAGTCCAATATCCACTGTTTGGGGAGGTCGTACTGCAATCTACTGCAAGGCTGAGAAGGATGCTTCAACCGGTCTGAGACGGACACCCACCCGAGGGATGATATGAGCCTCTGACGTTCGAATCACGCCCACCGGACACACTTCCAACCACACCCAAGAAATACAAAAAGGGCGCCATCAGTCAAGAATACAACTATGGGAGGCGCTTTGGGCATCATTTCGGCCGATCATCTGGCGTTGACTTGTGAGCAGCGGTCTTCGGTCTTGTCTCGGCGCTCCGACTTTTTGCTTTGGCAAGTTATTGAAGTGTGCCGTAGACTTGCTTGCATCTTTCCAAGAAGACTGCAGTTGATACATTGCATATAAATCCGACCAGTTTCGGCTCGAAATAAAGCTCGGGTTTATTTATCTTGCATGAGTCTTGCTCGTTACATATATGTCCTTTTCCACGTTTTGTTTCAATCTTCGAGTGCCCCGACTCGTTCTTCTCCTACTCACTTTTTTGCAATTGGAAAAGAACATCACCACCGCTAGTCGAACAAGAACACCACGAACAAGAACATCACTCCTCGAACAACATCACTAGTCGAACAACGCCACTAGACAAACAAGAAAATCTTCACTCGAGACCACGATGCGCTTGTCAAAGGTTCTACCCATCGGGGCTCTCGTGACCCTAGGACGTGCTCTCCCAGCTCCATCGTAAGACATACTGTCGTCCCTGAATTGCAGTCATCATAACTGACACCAATCAACAGTAAAAGAGTTCCCACGCGAGACTTCTTTCCGGACAACAGCAACTCAAATAACAACTATGGGCCTGATTACTACTATCCCAATGACAACTACCCAAACCAGGCCACATCATCGTCCTCCAGCTCGCCGTCTCCCTACCAAGACTCTTCATTCTCATCATCTTCCTCCTATCAAAACGATAACACCACCTCAGGCCCCTCCTCATACCAACCAAGAGCAGTCCCCACCGGCCTGATAATCAACTCCTGCACAGTCCCCGGCATGGTAGCCCTAACCTTCGACGACGGTCCCTACATCTACACCAGCCAACTCCTCGACACCCTAGCCTCCTTCTCGCCCCCAGTTCACGCCACCTTCTTCGTCAACGGCGCCAACTGGGTCTCGGGCATCGACGACGAATCCACCCCATACCCCAACATCCTCCGCCGCATGCTGAGCGAGGGGCACCAAATCGCCTCCCACACTTGGTCCCACACCGACCTGTCGAGTGCCACAACCGCCGTCCGCGTCGAACAAGTCACCCGCCTCGAAGATCTGTTGCTTCGAGTCGTCGGCGTCAGACCGAGATATATCCGGCCTCCCTACGCCGCCTGCGAGAATGGATGTCTGGAAGATCTCGAGGGCATGGGCCTCCACGTGGTTAATTTTGATTTGGACACCAAGGATTACGAAAACGATAGCGAGGGCGCGATCCAAGTCAGCGTGAACAAGTTCAATAATGAGCTGGGATGGAATACCGCCACGGACTCAGCGATTGTTTTGGCGCATGATGTGCATAGGTGGACGGTGGAGAGGCTGGTTGAAGAGATGGTTGGTACCATCAGAAATAGGGGGTTTAGCACGGGCACGGTGGGGGAGTGTTTGGGTGATCCTGAGAGTGGGTGGTATGCTTAGGTAGATAGGGAAGGGGAGGGGAGGGTCTGGTGAAATATGTTGTGGGGGATGATGGGGATGAGGGGGATCTGTAGGGGAAGAAGGGTTATATGTTTCATCTTGGCTTGTGTGGGATCCAATGGGCAGGTAGGCTCATGATATTTGGGCAATACCCCATTTGCTTTCAATGTCTTTTTCGCCAGGGGACTCTTTGAGGCCCGCCTCGTTAGGTATGGGAAAGGTCGCTGGAGGTGTATAGGCTGTAGTGTAAAGATGGAAGGCATCTATCTGGTGGTGTGTTGATGATCTCAGAAGACACCTTTGTTGTGTTGTCGTCGATCGGTACGGTAGAGGTGGCGAATAAGCAACAAACGCCTTTCAAAAGTTCAAACATCGCCGACAGCCAGAATCGGTCAAGTGTCCATTGTCCAGTACATTGAATTCAAACCCATGATGTTTGTTCCACTGGATGTCTATGACAACTGAATGGCTCGGATGGAAATTAAGGTACCCGTTCTACCCGTTCCCGGGCCGTCCCACCAGTTCGTTCCCGAGAACTGGAAATGGGGAAAGGGGAATGGGGAAAGGGGAATGGGGAATGGGGAATGGGGAATGGGGAACGCGGAACCTTCATTGTAAGTCGTGATCTCCAAAAGCCCCACATTTTGTTGAACATTGTATGTCATCGACTTCCCATCTTCAACACGACAATATCAACATCAACATCAACGCTCGCTTTTCTCTGCCAATATTCACCACTCTGTTATCTCGTTTTGATGTACTTTTTTTTAGATATCACAGCAAACACTTAATACCCCGACCCAACCCTAACGCTACTTATCCTTATTTACACCGCTCTCCGCACAAACACAAACACCAAATGCAACTCAAGGACATCTCAGTTAAACTCCCCCACAAACCCACAGCGACTCTGCGCATCTCAGCTCTCTTCCCGGGTACATCCTCCCCCGAATTCGCAGACCCCCTGGACATCACATCTTTACCACCTTCATCAACCCTCCTCGTCTTCCTCAATGGGCTCATCCTCCCTCGTTCGTCTTGGAATGAGTGCATCTCCCGCTTCTTGCGCATTCGCGATAAGCAGCGACGGTGTGCTTCATCGTCTAATTCTTCGGTATCTTCTTCTGATACTGCATCCGGACCCAAAGACGAGAGCGGGACTGGCAACGCCAATAAACATGGGTCGATACCAAAGTCTAATAATACCTCTAATGACGGGACACACGTACACGTACCATCCGAAATCAAAATCCCCAACATCCTAACCTACGACCGTTTCGGGCAAGGCGAGTCCGACCGCGACCCTTCCGACCCCGATCCGGAAATAGATAACACTCCCTACGGGCACTCACCGCTAGACGTAATCGCCGATTTACACCAACTCCTACTCCTCATCTCACAATACCTCTCCCAGGATCTATCCTCTCTAAACCTAGTATTCATAGCCAACTCCATAGGCTGTCCCTTAGCCCGGCTCTTCAACCATCATCACTCCCAGGTCAGGGTAACGGGATATCTTTTCCTAGACTCAATGATGGCCAACAGCGACTTTATTTCTGTGTTTCCCGATCCTGATTCTCCAGAATTCGACCCCGAAAAAGATCTGAGACAGGGGGTAAGCGAGGAGGATCTAAGATGGACAAGACAAAAGTTTAGGGAGAAGTTTCATCCTAGTGTGGGAAATGCCGAGAGGTTGGATAGACGGGGGTTGAGGACCTTGTTGCCTTGGGCTGATAGGCCGAAACTTACGATTCCTCCGTTGCGCGACGGTGAGGAGGAGGAGGAGGACAAGAATTTGAACGGAAAGGAGAAGCAGGAGCAGGAGCAGGAGCAGGAACAAGCCGGAATGAGGGAAGGGACAATAACAAGACCGAAGGCAATCGTCATCGGTCACGACTGGGACGTCTTTGCCGATCAAAACGAAAAGGTTCGTTTTTTTTTTCTTTTTCCCCGTCTTTCCCCTTCCCCATATCTAGTGTACGGTACCCCTTCCCATCCCCCAGCCCCCATACCATACCATACCATACCACTCTATTAAGACAGTTCGTCTCACACGTCTGATGGCACACCCCCACTGACCTGACCTGACCCCTCCATCAACATCAACAGGGTCCAATGTCCATTCCCAAAGCCGTCATAAACGGGTACATGAACCCAGCCTGGCAACGATATAACGAGGGGTTAACTCGTCTGGCTGCGGTTGACGGTAACGACGACAAGGATGTGGTTCCGGTCAAGATTGCCAAGGATTGTGGACATTTCATCCAAAAGGACGATCCGGAGTTGGTGGCGAGGGAGCTGGATTATGTGTTGAGGGGACTTGGGCTGTGAAGGAGGCGGAAGTTGGTTTTGGGTGATGACGATTTGCATGGGGTGAGCGCTCGGGGTCTGGTGCATGAGAGGTCACAACATGGAGTTGAGAATGTCAAAACACCAAAAGTTGAGACCAAACAACCCACATCACGAATCCGAATACCGTATGTAAGGAATGATACCCCATAATCTTAGCATCCCAGTTATATTGCGTACGCCAGTCACCAGTGTCCGAACCGGACCCTAGCGGAACGGATAGCCATGACCAAAACCAATATGCGCCAAGATACCCAATGTGATGCGCCCAATGCTCCCACAACGTTTTATATGCCGACGGCGACGACACGGTCTGGTTGATAAAACCTCATATCGACGCGCTCAATCCGAGCTCAACAGCTCCTTGATATCCTCGATCCTCTGCACCCTCTTTTCTTCGTCAGACATCATGCCCAGCGAAGTTGCTCTGCAATCAGTCAAGTAAGGTAACGTCAGCCTTTGATCTTCCTCAAACTCCCTCCACTCCTCTCAATTTACCTCAGGGACAGACAGGAACAAAACTCACATAAACTTCTTCCTCTCCTGCACCCTCAACATCCTCATTTCCACACTTTGTTTCACAATGAACCGATAAACCCTCACCTCATCCTCCTGCCCCATGCGATGAACGCGATCAATCGCCTGCGCCTCCACAGCAAAGGACCACCACGGATCCATCATGTAAACCCTCTTCGCATTCGTCAAGTTCAATCCGACACCGCCGGCTTTGAGACTCAGCAGCAGCACACAAAACTTGTTGCTGGCCTGAAACTCGGTAAGCACCGCCGCGCGAGCCTTTTGGGACATGGACCCATCTAACCGCAAAAAAGCGATTTTGTGACGGGCGAGAGCGCTGGAGATGAGAGTGAGGAAGGACGTGAACTGGGAAATCACTAGGGATTTCATCTTGGGATGTTCCTGGCGGAGGGCGCGGAGGTGCGAGATTAGAGCGACGATTTTAGCGGAGGAGTCGTTGGTGCCGATGCGTTGGAGGGAGATGCGTGGTTCGGGAGTTGCCCCTGGACTTGGAGTCGACGGTGTGGTTTCCGGGTCATCATCGGCGTGGCGGATGACTTCGAAGATGTCCCGGATGTTGATGTGCTCGCGACATTGGAAACACCGTGGGACCTCGTTACGGTCGGTTTGGTGCTTGATGTAGTCGAGCAGACATTTCTTGCACGCAGAGTGCCAACATCCTGTCACGGCTTGGTTGATCATGGGCTCTTCGGCGCAGATGGGACATTCGTTGACTGCTTCGTCGCGGATCTGTTTGAGCACATGAGCACCGAAGTTGTTGTTGGTGGTTGAGGCGTCGTCGGTGGTGGCGGTGAAGCGTTCGATGAGAGATTGAAGGTCCATGTCGTCAGCTAATCCCGCCGCGACGTCAGCGGCCATGTTGGCTTCCTCCTCATCAGCGAGAACCTCCTGGTTGCGGACGAGCAAGGGGTGACAGCACGTTTGGCGGAGCCGCAAGATCTGCGCGAAGATGGAGGTGAACGCCTTCATGACCGTGCCGGCTTGCATGTTATCGAAGAATGTCCGCTTGGCGTGTTTGAAGATGTAGTCATATACTGCCCTCTCAGGCTCGGAGAGTTCGATGTCGACGATCTCGATGTGTTTGGGCGGGAGTGGGACGAGGAACTGCCCATCGGGGGTCTTCATGTCTTTGGTGCGGCGCATCACGAGCGGCTCAAGGACGGTTTGGACGACGTCTAGGGCGCGGACAAAGTTCTTGGACTCGAAGGGGACAGTAATGAAGGTTCGCCAGAAGGAAAAATTGTTCCATGGCTCAACGCGAAAAGCGGACGAGGCTGAAGAGGTCTTCGAGACGGTTGACGATGGGGGTTCCGGTGAGGACCCAGCGGTGTTCGGCGGCGATCTCGTAGCATGCTCGAGAAGTCTTGGCTTGGCGGTTCTTGATATTGTGTGCTTCGTCCAGGATGACGCGGAAGAAGTTGAGGGAGAATAGACCACGGCTGTTGAGTCTGTCTGCGTTCTTGGTAGCGAGCTGGGTAAACTCGGAAAGGACGACTCCGTAGCTGGTGACGATCACCCCTGGAGCGTTGGCTGCGTTGGCTTCGCAGCACAAACTCAACAGATCGACATTCTTCTCCGTCCCGTAGTACATCATGGTCTTGAGGGTGCCCTCCTTGGAAGCATTCTCAGCCTCGCTTTGCCATTGCGCTAGCAAGGACATGGGGGCAACCACAAGTGTTGTACATGGAGCGTCAACCGTTGTCTTCTGTCCAGACACTGCTGGTAGACGTGGGAGGTTGTTGACTGAGGTGGGACCGGCCTCACGCGCCTTGATGGCTACTTCGGATCTGTGCGAATGAATCAGGGAGAGCATTTGGATGGTTTTGCCTGTAAGAGACGAGTGTCAGCTGGGATCCATGGCAAAGCAAAGAAAAGGGCAAAAGCAAACGCACCAAGTCCCATCTCGTCAGCCAAGATACCACCAAGACAATGCTGTTCTTGCTTGGGGAAGTCAAGAGACAGGTCGCCAGAGTATGGATTGACGTAGAAGTAGGGTTGGTCAGGAACAACAGGCAAGTCCTTGTCGTCATGGTCCTTGAGCGGCCAAGTATACTCTTCCCATAAGGGATGCATGGATGTTTCGCGGTCTTCTGTTCGCTGGTTCTTCTCCTTGGCCAGCATCCAATGCAGCGATTGCTTCTGGTATGGACGCAAGGTCATGGCGAAGGTATCAGCCGGTTCGGCCTCGGGGGTGTTAAAGTCGAATGATTGAGCCTTCTTGTACAGCTCATCAAGTTGGTCTTGTTCGAGCTCTTGGCCCTCTTCGGCCTCTCCTGATGGAGAAGCTGACCCGTTATTGTTTTCTCCGGCCTTTGCCTTGTCCATGGCCTTCTTCTCGGCTATTTCTGCTGCTTCAAGCAGTTCTTTCCTGGCGTCTCTGGCGGCAGCAGCATTGCCTCGCGAGGGGACAAGGTTGATCTCTTGGAACAGTCTGACGAGCGCAACTTGCCTCAACCGGAGCTCCTTCTCCTCTGTTGTCTCATCTTTCTCGTGGAACCCGGCGGCTCTGTTGTCGGCTAGTTGGAGGGTTCTCCCGAAGAAGGCTGACCGGAGCATGTAGCACTTGAGTTGTAGGAAGACGGTCTCGTTTGTTCGTAGTCGCTCGGGTGCGTAGACGCAGATGCCTTGGAATCTGCAAATCTTTTGATCTATTAGTGGTGACACCCAGTTGGCTGTGTCTTTGGCCAGACGACCAAGTTCCCTGCCGCTGGCGTCGGTGAAGCGGACTATGACATCGACACGTTTGGCGGCTGCCGCGCTGACCCGTGGAATGGATTGTGGAGTTCCAGGCTTGTTTTGCCCTTTCCTTCCAACGGTGGGTGGTTGGATCTTTTGGCGCTCAATCTTGACGATATCGCCGTGTCTGAGAAGGCCTGTCCCGCTCCTGGTAGCCCACCCCTCAACGCCAAGTGCGCCGACATAGCGGGCTTCCGGTATTGATGGGAGAACCTTGGGTTCATCCGTTGGTGGTGGTTTCGACCTTGGTTGTGACTTGGCTAGAGCTTGTGATGGCGATCGTGCTTGTGGTGTTGTTGATGCTTTCTTGGGAGACTGGCCTCCTACAATCAGGGGCGCATGCGAGTTGACCCTGACGGGAGGCGCCCGGTACAGCTTCTTCCATGTTCCATCCAGGTACATATTGACAGCTCTTTCGATATTGTTGCCGCAGTTCTTGCTTATGACCTGGAGGATGTCAATCGCAACCTTTTCGCCAACAAAGGCTTCGAATGTGTCTTTGTCGAACGCCAGCTGGGGGGACTCGGCCACGGGGACTGGTGTCGCGACTGGAGTATCGATATCTTTCAAGAGATAGCCTCTCCTGGGATCTGGCTTGGGCAGTTCGTCAAGAAAGAACTTGATATTCTCCTCTGTGAAGAATATCGGGGGTTCCTGGTTGTCGTCGTCCGCATATTTCGACTTTCGAGGCGTGGCTTCTTCGTTTGCATTTTTTGGAGTTTCTTCCTGGGAGGTAGCTCGGGGGAGCGCTGAACTGAGGAGACGAACTGGGGCCGGCAACGACATCGTCCGAGTCCAGGTGGTCGGCCAGGAACCGGCGCTTCTTGGAGGGGGGCTCGTCGGTGAAGTCCATTGTGATGTCTATCGCTTGTGTTTCCAGTCGTTGAAGGTCGGTGTTGTTCAGCCCATGGGGGCAGCTATAGGTACATGGGTTGTGTGCAGCTGAAAGTCAAACAATGACGAGAAGTAATTGAATTGAATGCGCTTGAGTGTTAACAAGTTGCGCCGGGAGACGCGACTGAGCCGTGGCAACCGTGAATCTTTGGCGGGCCATTCAATTGCGCTTTCCCGTTGTCAGGTGATTACGCGCTACTTCATTCAGGTGGAAAGGAGCTCGGGCCACCTCTTCCATTTATTGCCGTCATCGCTAAGGTAGCCGTAAAGTGTCTGGAGCTTCTCACTAACATCCGCTAAAACATAGCGCTTGTGATGCTGAGGGGCAGCACGGCGTGACATGGTCCTAATTGTCGAATCAAATGCCGAGAAAACATTCAATGTCGTTGTCGACCTTCTGTCTTCCTCTCGCAGCCGAGGTGGTTGTCTTGTCTCTCGTTCCAGAGATGTGATCTTTTATTGTGACAGCGGGTAAAACAGTACCGCTTCTTGCTCTACCATGATATCCTCTCGAGCACTTACCTGCCATGTCCTGAGGCAGCGGGCACCTCTACGGCCAGGTGGTCTTCGGCTCCAGCCTCAGCTTCCAGCTTTGTGGCAGCCTTCCCTTCCCAGACGAGGCCTCGCGACAATCACTGATGTCGACGTCGAAAAGGCCCGCCAGTACTGTGAGAACCAGCTCAAGTCTGTCATTCCATTCTCTTCCCTTTTTGATTGACTCCTGCTAACTCTCCCCTTTCCCAGACATGGGGACTACGAAGCCTTCCTCCTCCGACAATTTGTCCCTCCCTCCTCCCGCAACGCCTACAGTGCTCTCCGTACCCTGAACCTCGAACTCGCCCGCCTCCCCGAGACTGTTTCCAACACGACCATCGCACGCATGCGCATGTCCTTTTGGCGTGAAACCGTGAACAGCGTCTTTGCCGGCAACCCCCCACGCGAGCCCATCTCTATCGTCCTCCACCAAGCCGTCCAAGACCTCAAAGCTCGCGCCGGCCCCAGCAGCGCCAGCTCCCTCAAGTTCTGGCTCCTATGCCTGATCAACACGCGCGAGCAACATATGGAAAATAGGCCATTTGTTAGCTTGAATTCGCTGCAAGATTACGCCGAGAATACGTACGCGACGCTGATGTACATGACACTGGCCTCCATGCCTTTGCGATCGGTACATATGGACCATCTGGCTAGTCACATTGGCAAGGCCTGCGGCATTGTAGCCACACTGCGTGGTATTCCCGTTCTGGCCGCTCCATCGCAGCCCATCCAGGGCCCGGCTGGTAGCGTAGGCAACACCCGACCTCCTGCGCTGCTATTGCCTCTCGATGTGATGGCCGAGGCGGGAGTCAGAGAAGAGGATGTCTTCCGCCGCGGACCCAACGCCGAGGGACTACAGGATGCCGTGTTCAAGGTGGCTACGAGGGCCAATGACCATTTGATCACGGCGAGGGAGATGTTGAAGAACTTGAAGGCTGGAGAAGAGGTGGGACATGATTATGAGCATGAGGGAGAACAGGAGCATGTCTACTCGACTGGCGGCACCGACACAACACAAGCTGATATCAAGAGGGGGTTTGGGGTGTTGCTGGAAGCAGTGCCGGCTGCTGACTACTTGGAACGGTTGGAGAAGGCTGACTTTGACCCCTTCAAAGTCAAAGCCAGCTGGAAGCTTCCTTGGAGGCTATGGCGTGCTCTGAAGACACATCAGATTTGAGCCCGCCGTGCACGCCTAATTCGAGGCCAACGAGCGTCAATTGAGATTGTTCTTCCATCCCGTCTCTTACTCTTGGTGCTGACGTCCGTGATGACATAGAATCGACCTCGATCGGACCGCCAGAGTACACCCCGTTGCCAGCCCTTAGCCCGGTTATCATAAACAGGCAAAAGTCAACAACTGTCGACTGTATCAACTCAGGTCTCTTGTCCCTTCCAAACGGTACAAAGCGTCCTTGAGGCAAAGTTCTGGCATGATTTCTGTAGGACCAAGGCACCACGGAGAAGCACATGACCACTTCGCAGAGTGTGGGCAGTCGAAAGCACACCATGCAATACCAACATCGATATTGCTTGCAATCTGGGGCAGAGAGGCCACTTTATAGGAGCGCTCCGTGTGGTGTGTTCTCATCGGGCCTGAATAGCGGGATGACGGGTAACGGCCACACTTTAGCCTATAATTACCAACTTCCCCCGAACAATCTTTGTATCAGGCCCACAACACCTTCAAGCTCCCAGTCTCGTCCAACCATCAACTTCTGGCCTTTTCCCCTGGAGCAAAATCTGACAGCAAATACCACCATTGTTGTCGATCGGCTTCCAAAACAGCGAGCGGCTCGGCGGCTGCTTTTAACCGTCAAAGGATTCCCATTGCAGGGCTGACATCTCGCTAGTAGTTCTAGTCGCTCTCGCCTAGATCTCGCCTAGAATCGTCGACAAGGAACAGAGTCGCATCAGCAAGTGCCGATGCGTCTCTTTCATCCACGGTCCATACAAACTCTTGTTTCAACCTCATCGGTCCAAGGTGCGCCCAGAGCTTGGGATGACATGCTGAACATGCTCATCGCTCTTGGCATAGGTGCCGTATGTGAAGGAAGCATCATCTGTAGGCTGATATGTTAACCGGACCAATCACTGGCGAACTTCCATCCTGCTCACCTTCCGAATCTCTGATCTGCAACGGCTCGACGAGATTCCCAGCTACAGTAACACACAATCCTCCGCATTCCGAAGACTTGGTCGCCCTTCCGCATATGTTATGCTCCCCACAAAGTCAGAGACGGCCGAGACGGCTCAGTGATTAATCCCCGGGGGGCTTGATGCCGTGATCCCGCGTTACCACCCCCTCAATTCAATATCCCCAGCCAGTCGTGGAAGTTGGAAGGGAACTGATGTCAGTTTCCATTTCTTGACAGTCTCGTGGGTGCTAAAACGGGAAAAGGCAGAAATAGCTCCGATAGGTCAATGTCCTTTATGGCCTCTTCGACACAATGAGACTGTCACAAGCTATATCAAGTCTACGGCGCTGCCCTCGATCCTGCTCCAGCCTCCAGAACTGATCGTCCCATCCCGCTGAACAGGATTCCGCCCGGCTCCAGTAGATCGTCCAACATGTGGCTCCCTCTCATCCTCCTCACTGCCACGGCAGCTCCCATCCTCGCCAACCCCCTAACATCCCCACTTAACAAGCGTGCCGCCATCGACGACTGCCTCAAATCCGCCGGCGTCCCAGCCGATGCCCAGGGGTCCTCCGATTGGCGCGCCGACGTCAATCCCTTCAATCAGCGCCTGCCATACACGCCGGTAGCCATTGCCGTCCCCACCACCGTCGAACACATTCAAGGCGCCGTCTCCTGTGCCGCGAAGCTGGGAATCAAAGTCACCCCCAAATCAGGAGGACACAGTTATGCCTCGTTTGGTCTAGGCGGAGAGAACGGGCATCTGGTTGTGGAATTGGATCGCATGTTCAAAGTGACGCTAGATAAGACGACGAATATCGCGGATATCCAAGCGGGAGCGAGACTGGGACATGTGGCGACCGAATTGTATAAACAGGGCAAGAGAGCTTTCTCACATGGGACTTGTCCTGGGTATGTTTACCGCTCATGAACCCCTATTGCTCAACCCGGCCGGTGCTAACTAACAGGGAAACAGAGTCGGAGTAGCAGGCCACTCCCTCCACGGCGGCTTCGGCTTCTCCTCGCACACCTACGGTCTAGCAGTAGACTGGATTGCCGCCGCCACCGTCGTTCTGGCCAACAGCACCGTGGTAACTGCCTCGCCAACCGAGAACCCGGACCTCTTCTGGGCTTTGCGCGGCGCCGGGTCCAACTTTGGTATTGTGACTTCCTTCAAGTTCAACACCTTTGCTGCACCCTCGCAGGTCACTGCTTTCCAGATTAACTTGCCCTGGAACTCAGCGTCGTCGATTGCGTCCGGCTGGGGAAAGTTGCAGGATTGGTTGGCAGCGGGCAACATGCCCAAGGAGATGAACTTCCGAATCTTCGGCTCGCCGAGTCAGACGCAAATCCAGGGCTTGTATCACGGTAGTAGCTCTGCGCTGAGGACGGCCGCGCAGCCGTTGCTGAGCGCTCTTGGCGCAAGCTTGAGCAATGCGCAGCAGTATGACTGGATGGGAGCGTTTACTTATTACACTTATGGGGGAACGGTGGATGTTACGCATCCTTATAACCAGGTAGGCCCAGTCTTCCCCTTTCCAGTCCATTCTCTTCCCGTCTCCATCAGCAATTAACTCCCTCCCTTGTGCCGTGCAGGTTGAAACCTTCTACTCCAAATCCCTCGTCACCACCGCCCTCCCCTCCGCCGCCCTCAACTCGGTCGCCTCCTACTGGATTAACACCGCCAAGCGCGTCAACCGCGACTGGTTCATCATCATCGACATGCACGGCGGTCCCAAGTCCGCCATCACATCCACCACCACCAACTCGGCCAACTACACCAGTTCGTACGCCTATCGCAGCCCCGAGTACCTCTTCCTCTACGAGCTCTACGACCGCGTCCAGTTCGGCAGTTATCCCAGCAACGGATTCAGCTTTCTCGATGGATGGGTCAAGAGCTTTACGGATAATATGAAGCAGGACCAGTGGGGGATGTATATCAATTATGCGGATCCCACTATGAAGAGGGCTGAGGCGGTGGGGAATTATTATCGGGGGAGCTTGGAGAGGTTGAAGCAGGTGAAGGCACAGTATGATCCGAATGAGCTGTTTTATTATCCGCAGAGCGTTGAGCCGGCGAAGTAGATTGGGGGATTTGAATTGGGGAACAAGGGGAAGGAAGGAGAGAGGCGATGGGTCTGGGATATGGATGCTGTCGGCGCAGAGAGACGAAGTGAATGAGGCAAAGGACGGTTTCTCCGTTGAGTCCTTGAGGTAGTTGATGTTGATGTATAGCAGGCAGGAACAAGGTCAAAGAAAGATCATCTCCTGGAACGGCCCAGCTCTGGCTTGATCTTCACGGGTCACTGTCAACTTCCCCCTGAACAGGCCAGGCCTGTTGACATTCAATTCGTAATAACAGCACACTGGCGATGACGGTTAATCGCGATAACAACATTCCGATTTCCGCCAAGAGACTGTCCGATACTTCATCAATTGTCGTAATATGATAGACCCGCTCAAACTCCCACGAGAAGTTCAGGTTTGTAGATGGACATCCACACCGGGAAGGAGATACTACCGACAATCCGAATCGACCTGCGATCAGAGTACCTTAGGCACGCTGGAAAGCAAGAGGACATCCAGTCTACGTCTTTAACCAGAAAGCATAATCCTTTACGCACTACATCCGGGGAGATTTGTCATCGTTCGTTGTGTCGGGGTTAATTCGGAGGAAGGACCGACTCCCGTCCTCTCACAAGTCGCATAGCACGTCATCGGTCGCGACTGCACTTTCTCGGTTTCTCCATTCATCACTGCACCACGTCGGACACTCGCTTTTTTCTTGCTGAAAAACGTCAAGGCAACGAAACAACATGGTGAAACTCGGCATTAGCGACAAGATCAAGCTGAATAGCGGATATGAAATCCCGCAATTGGGGTTTGGTGTAAGTAATTACTGAGTGTTCCGCCCCCCGCTGTGCATGTCACTGGGTACATGTCATCTTCGTCTGCAAATGACTGACTCCTTCTATTTCAGGTTTACCAAACGTAAGATACTTTGGCTTTACTGGTCACTGCAAGGGCTGGCTCGTCATTCTAATTAACTCCATTCCTAGTCCCGCCGATGAAGTAGACAAGATCGTCGAAGAAGCCTTCAATGTCGGATATCGTCATGTTCGTTCCTTTCTTATTTCTCCTTTCCCAGTATCCCTCTTCCATTCCTGTTTTGCCTCCCGTCCTATTCCACCCCGCCTTCCACCACCATACTAACCTCTCTTCCGTCAATAGGTCGACTCCGCCTCCGCCTACCGCAACGAAGCCGGCTGCGGCGCCGCCATCCTCCGCTCCTCCATCCCTCGCTCCGAAATCTTCTTCACCTCCAAGATCGGCCCCAAGCACATCTCCTACAACGCTGCAAAGCGCATCATCTCCGAATCCCTTCAAAAGACAGGGTTAGAGTACATCGACCTCATGCTCCTGCACGCTCCCTACGGCGGGTCCGCAAACCGGAAGGGCGCCTGGCTTGCGCTTGTCGAAGCCGTCGAGGAAGGAAAGATCCGGTCTATTGGTGTTTCAAACTATGGCGTCCATCACCTCGACGAACTGGAGCAGCATATCAAGCAACTGGAAGCTGAACGGAGCGGGCCGGGCAAGGGAGGTGTGATCAGTGTCGGGCAGTGGGAGGTTCATCCTTGGTGTGCCCGTAGTGATATCGTCGAGTGGTGTCGCAAACGCAACGTTGTCGTGGAAGCGTACGCGCCCATTGTTAGAGGAGAGAGGTTTGGCGAGCCGGATTTGAAGAAGCTGGCGGAGAAGTATGGAAAGACGGAGGCACAGGTGCTGGTGAGGTGGAGTTTGCAGAAGGGATATGTGCCGCTGCCGAAGAGTGTTAGGGCGGAGAGGATCGAGGAGAATGCGGATGTTTATGACTTTGAGTTGAACGAGGAGGAGGTGAAGGGGCTGGAGACGAAGGAGTATAGCCCCGTGTGTTGGGATCCGACGACGAGTGAGTTGGATAATTACAGTGGGCAGGAGGTCTAGCGGGCTGGGAATTGGGGTGAGAGCCTAGACAATACGACGGCCCTTCGCCAAATCCAGCACTGCAGGTATGAAATATGCATGTTCTCGGCCAGACAGAATATCAGCAGCTATGCATGCATCCAGATCAAAGCATAGCGGAAGTTCGTTGCAGGCGCATTTATTTCTCATACATCTTGCCAGTGTGTCTTCTTTCTACCCGCGCTATTTAATCTCGACCACCTGTCCTCGTTTTATCCACATCACCAAAGAATCTCCTTCCCACAAGAACCGCACCACCGCCACCACCTGGAGTCCACCATGATGTCTCTCCGACGCCTCCTCCTCCTTGCCCTTGTATCGATACCAGTCCTTGGTAAGTTCGCCTACACCGTTACCGGAACATCCTACGGAAAACCTATTCCTCCTTCCTCAATCGTCTTCGAACCCAAGGCCCTAAGTCTCCACCGTCTCAACCGAACTTCAAGTGTTCAAGAAAAAACGAACTTGACGATATCAACCAAGAAACTAGCACGTCAACAAAAGAATAATCCAGTACTATACAGCGCCAACTGGTACGGCGCCGTCCAGCATCCAGGCGGGGACTCGACGAATAAGATCACCAACGTACACGCACACTTCCAGGTCCCTACAGTGTCCCCCAGATATCCTGGGGATGGCGCTTGGTTTCTTGCCACTTGGGTAGGGATTGATAGGGCAAAATGGCCAGAGACCCTGTTGCAGGCTGGAATTCTCAGTCTGGTATGTTCCATGTTGTTCTGTGCACTGCAGGTAGAAGTGCAGGCTACCTGACCTCTAACTGACTTGCATCGTTACCTAGCTTGGTGCAGATGGCATTCAAAGCAATGGGGCTTGGGTCGAATGGGTTCCTGACAAGGCTTACGACATCCCGTCATTCCCTGGTGAGTGATTTGGACTGGAGTCAGCCCTCGATATTGGGACTTCCACTAACGACCCTCGTCAAACAGTAAAAACCGGTGACTGGATTGAATTAATCATCACTGCGACATCGGCGACCACCGGAAATATGTAGGTTCTTGTTTTCAGTCCAGTCCTGGCCATCATCCAATCCATGATCTGTGCATCCCAACATTGAAATCACAACACTAACAAAACGTCTCTACCTACCGCTAGTCTCATAAGCAATCTGAACCAGTCGACCGCCTATACCGTTTCCCTCGTCAACGGTTCGCCCCTCGGCCAGGTCGACGCCGACTGGGTCGTCGAGGCCCCAATGGTTGAGGGTTTTAGTATAGCGCCGTATTCCCGATTCGACAACGTGTGGTTCAAGAATTGCTCCGCATCGACGACCAATGGGACGACCAGGGGCGTGGACGGCGCCGATATGTATTACTAGCCTAAAAGGAGGTGTATGGCCTTTGAGAGTAATAATACGGAGTTTTGTGCGGAGTCTTCTACTACGTGGTAGGATGCGAGGGAGGAAGGAAGCGCCGTCGACCATGTATTTATCTACAGGTAGGAACGGGCAGGATGTCTAGGGTAGATGTCTGCAGACGTATAAGATGGAATCGGAAGAGGTAGAGGGATGTTCTAATTTCCTTGACATGCTTGGGTCTGGCTTTAGTCTTACCTGTCTAGATGTATTCTTCCCCGTTATCGTGCTCTCCGCTACCAGACATATAGCAAACGCAAATAACTACCAACCTTAGGCCCTCTTCAGGTTTCCCTCAGCACGGATATCTGTATTCCAGCCTTTTCGTGAGAGTGGCCCTTCCGTATTTCTGATTTCCTCTTTGGTTTTATAGGTCCGATCAGCTTTCGCTAAATGGGCCGGTGTGATGGCCAATTTGGGACCCATCAGGATGCGCTTTTTATGACAATCGCAGATGCGCGTCAGCTTTATCAAAGAAATTCTGGATACTAGGTATGGTCGGATTCTTTGGGCTGGCTGAATCTTTTTCCCGCCTTTGGAACTTCTCACGGCGGTCATTTTCTCGCTGCATGGCCAGGGCAAGTGTTCCCTGAGGCCCTTGATGTCGGGTACGACAACATCAGTTAAGAGTTAGTGCAACTCTGGAGAAGCGGAAACTTACCAACAGGTGCCAAGAAGTGCTTTGTAAATATGCATATCTTGTCCCACTGGATCTGGGGTCAGGTACAAGATCATGTTCTCAACCAAGAGCGGCCTTACGCCGAAAGCTGGCATTGTAGACTCCTGGCATTTATGTTGCCTATCTCCATCAGCGAATGACAACGAGAAGCGTACGCCCGTATAGCTCAGTGGTAGAGCGCTTCACTCGTACTAACCATCTGCGATATGAAGAGGTCCGCGGTTCAATCCCGCGTGGGGGCACACTTTTTTCCTATTTCATTCCTCCCTTTTTTTTTGCCCTTGACATATCAACTCCTTCCCTCTTTTTTCTCGTCTTTCCCTCTCCTTTCCGCAACACCCAGGCTGTTTGTTCAACACCTCACAGCTTTCCCCTGCTCCGCCCATAGTCCCGGATCATCAACCAAGCAATATGCATGCACCATCCACCTGCTCCTTCCACTCGAAATCTGCAGTCAACGAAGTGGTGGATTGCACCCAGGAATCGCCATTATCATATTCGAACGCCATGCACCTGTTAGAAGACCAGAAATAGATAGTCGCCCCATCCACGCCTTACTCGTTCCATTCGCTGTTGTCACGGAACAGTCCTCGAACCAGACGTCGTTAAACTTTGTATAAGGGGGCCTCCCAGAGGATGTGGACGGGGCCTCGATGATCCACCCCGCATCCACTCGGCCAAGGGGTGTTCCGCCAGTGAGGGGAATCAAGAGACTGTAATTTTGGTCGAGATTGGCATTTGCGCTGGGGGTTGTTAGCTATTAGGCAGGTGGCTTTTGACTTCGAACTGGAACTGAGAAATTTGGAGTGACAGGGAGGGAGTGAGAAGTGATGGCGAGGGATTAGGGAAGTGAGAATTTACACCGTTCCTGAAGTTGCTGAAGTAGTAGTAATATTGAGTTCTATCCAGTCGCCGGTGTTCACTACATGTACATACATGTACGCGGAAGTTGTTAGTCAGTCAGTTTTCAGCGAAACTTGAAGGCCGAGGTTCAGTTCGGAGCATGAAGTGATCTGACAATCCGAATGGGTTCACCTAAAGTACCAGGAAAGGACGGAATGTTGTAAGCCGCGTCAGGAACCCATTCCAGCCATGCCCAATGATTTTGGGAACTGTCCGCCCTGAGCTAAATGTTGGAAGAGTCGCCATTGGACACCGATCAGTTCTCGTTAAGTCTTTGATCCCTGCACTCCCTGCGAGCACAGCCAGTCAACGTGGAAAAGAACAGAGAGAAGGACATACATACCTCACTGGTAACTCCAGCCTGCAGCAATACCGCATTCGACGCTCCATCAATGCCCACCCACGCAGCAAAGATAGTCCGAAGGCAACGAGCCCACACTACCCGCCTGTCTCCCAAGAGCCGTAGGGACTTGGAAGTAGCCATGTATGCTGGTGATCTTGTTCGCCGTCGTACCAAGGTTCTTTGGGACCGCGCCACACTAATTACTGCTGTAATGAATCGCGTTGGCTGAGCCCTGTCGTCGTGCCTTTTGATTCAGGGGTAGAGTTGGTGCCTCTGTTTGGGATCCGGAAGTTGATCCTCGGTTAAGCCGGTGAAGACTTGGATCATTCCGTTCGAAGACGATATCGGACGGTGGATGGGTTTGCCGTGGGAGGTGCCGGTGACGCTGTAAGTGAGCTCAGCGAGAGCTGGCCGGAAGGCAATGATGGTAAGGAGAAGAAGGGCTTGGTAGGAATTCATTATGGGAGAATCTTGGACCGGTGGTGATGGCAGTTTAGGCGTGGCTTCAATGCGGAAGTCTCCGACAGGACTAAAGGCCGTTTGATCATCAACGTCAAGAGCGAGATGGAGGGCTTGGCACAGACATCTTATAGCCATTAGGTTATCTACATTTTGGGGACCAGAACTCGCAGAGACGAGGTTGCGTTTGGTGATAGTATTATGAGTATGCGGTTGACGACATGAACTGTGCCGTCAAGCTACAAATGTCGAGCTCGCAACGGCTTGCTGTTGGCCATTCCCAGTCCCGGGCTTCCTATTTCAGAAGTTGACCGAATCTATCACAAGTTGTCAGCTCCTCGTAGTCCAATCGGAAAAGAGACGGAGCAATGTGTTGTAGGCTGACACCGAACAAGTGACCCCGGCTCGGCTCGTGCTTCGCACCATGACTTCCACGGGCCTGCCAACATGCTCACGACACTTCTAAACTTGTATGTTAGCCCCATTTCTGAACACGCACTCAAAGTCTGCTGATATACGTCGAAAACAAAATTGGATTACCACTGAACGCCTTCCCTCAAGCCGTCAAGCCTCCGGGGCTTCTGCCTATGGCCTATGCTAGTACTACAAGACTCCGACGACGCCAGTGCATGCCACACCCTGAACCAGGTCGTATATTACAAAAATATGAGACATCCAAAAGAATGATCAATCAACCATCTCCCAAAATCGCCCCCAAATCCTTCATCCTAACCGGCTTGGTCAAGAACAAGTCCACTCCGCTCGCCAGTGCATCCTTCTGTATCGTCCCGCTCGTGACTCCTGTGAGCGCCACGACAGTTGCGGGCTCCAGACCCCTGACAGGTTCTCGGTCTCCTTCGATGCTGTTCTCCTCTGTTGTTTCTGTCACACCTCCATCCATGTCATCGTCGTTGACCTGCACTTCCTTCGCTTTCCTATTGTCCCGTGGCACTCCAGCATTCCCCCCATCTGCAGGTACATTTCCGTCGTCGTCACCTCCGACCGGCGCGGACGCAAGTGTCGGCTCAAGCCCAGTAGCAGCTCTATTGAGAGTAGAGGTAGAGGTAGAGGTAGATTCTCGATCAACCCTCCTCTGTATGACTCTCTTGCCATCTCCAGCTTCAGCTACAGCGCCGACTTTGACGCCCGCCACTCCAATACTACCGATACCACCGATACCACCAGCACCGATGATACCCGCATCCAAACTCCCAGCTCTCGCCCTTGTTTCACACGCCTTGCTTGCTGTAGTGCCCCTTTTCATCAAGTTCCTGCCCACGCTCTTACTCCTGCTCATAGGATACTCCCGCTCAAACTGCCTGATCCTCCTTGTCGCTTCCAACCCATCCATTACCGGCATGCTGATATCCATCAACACCCACTTGTACCGTCCCGGGTTTTCCTTGTAGATCTGCACTGCCTCCAGCCCATTGCGGGCAGTAGCAAAGGGACGGTGCGTCTTGCGCATCGCGGAGGCGAGGATGTGGAGGTTGATGGGGTTGTCGTCTACTAGGAGGCAGGCCTTTTCTTCCTGATTTGTTGTTGAGAAACCGGAAGGAGGGTTGCGGACTTGATATGGAGAGTTTGGCAGGGACTGGGAGGGGTGCGAAGGTTGGCGAGGAGTGGAATGAGGGGAAAGTTGGGATTGCGTCGTGGGAGTTTGAGATGAAGAGGAAATTGTGTCGATGGGGAAGGCAGATGCCTTGCTGAGGGGATGTGTTTCAAAATCAAAGTTGACGGTTTGGCTCGGAGTTATCAACGGCGAGGTCATCAGTATTGATTGCTGGCGCTGGCTTCTGGCCCGTTGGGGCTGTTCGGGCGGTTTTGGCGGCGGGGACACATCCGGGACGGCCGCGGTCCCTGGTATCGTGTTGTTCGTGGCGGCGGCAGTAGCAGCAGCAACAGCAGCAGCACCAGCGGTACCCCCACTTGTAGGGCCTGCATTGTCGAGGGTGCTGGCTTTGGCATAGCTAGTAACGGAAGGAAAGATCGAGTTGACAGTTTGCGACATAGGCGACACTTGCTCAGACTCGGGGGAAGCAGGGACCTCGGTTAAGACCGGTGGTGACATGATCGAGTCGAACAGCGACGGCGACGACACCTCGGAGACAGAAACGGTAGTGAAGCTAAAGTTCGTATTGTTCGCTTTCCCTTTCCCAGTACGGGATCGTGGTGGCAGTGGGGGCCTGGTGAGTGGCATCTTGATGTTCCCTGGCTGTGATAATGGGGAAGCCTCTTCTTGCTTCGCCTTCTGCAGCAGCGTCGGTTCGGGGGTAACCACTTCCTCCCCTTTTGACCTCTCGTCCATGTCGGGCACCGGGGTAACCTCCGTCTCCTCCTCTGAAATCTTTTCATCCTTCCCCACGGATGTCTGTTGAACCAACGGCGTTCCAGGCGTCCTTTTGATTCTATGCATCAAAGGTCTTGTCGCCGCAGCCGCCGTCGCCTTGCTCGTCGAAAACAAGGTATCCCGAAAATCATCCGCCAGGTAAGGCAGGAACCTCGACTTCTTGTTGACGATTTGAAAAACTTCCGGGTCCGACATCTTCCTCTGCAGAACATCCAGGTCGATGCTAGACTCCGATGAGGTTCGTGACAGTAGCTCTTTTTCTGTGTGTCCTCCCATTTCGTTGACTCTTCCCTTCAGCGGGACGGGATGACTCTGAAGACACTTCCTCAGTGTCTTAGCCAGCTTCCTTGGCCCAACCCTGTTCAATGCCACATCTGTCAGTATCTGCTTGGGAACAAATAAGTTGTGGGAAAAGAGACTTACGGCTGACCGATAAACTCCATCACGCTCGCCTCCCCTTTCCCTCCAGCAGTAGCCTCGCCCCTAGCCAGTGACAAATTCTGCGCAACAACTTCATTCCCGCACACCACCACCAACGGGCCGGGCAACACCCTCGACGCGAACATCCCTCGGCCAATCTTGTCGCCAGCGCCATCATCCGTGCACATACCCAATACAAACCGATCGCTGCAGATTGTCATTTGCGCGTCTGCTGGGTTTGTCACCACCCGACATCCAAGCCAATCCTTACACATCCTCTCCATGATCCTCCCCCTCAGAACTTCCCTCCCCTTTGCACCGACCGGCATACCCCACCCAGGGTCGTCGGGCTCTCCGTCTCCCTGGAGCCCGTCGAAACCAAGCAGGCAAACCCTCAAGCCCCTCAGCACCTCCCTATGCTCCGCTATATCCCTCTCCTCGCTCCTTGGTTCCGGATTCGAATGAAGAAGCGGCGTGATCACTCTAACCGTCGTGCCTTCACCAGGTCGAGAGTCAACGACGACGCGCCCATCGAGGGCATCGACGATCTGCTTCACAATAGAAAGACCGAGGCCGGGGCCGGGGGTGAGGCTGTCTTCCTTTTGGAAGGGGGAAAAAGCCTTCTCACGCAGAAAACGGGGGCCAATTCCTTTGCCCGTATCCGCGACGGTGAGTATTACGTTTGAGCGTTTCTGTTCATCCAAGCCGACCCCAAGGCTGCCCTTCTCGCGGTTGGGATTGGCATTGGGGCGGGGAGTGGAGTACTTGCTGTCCGTTTCGATGCCGGTGTCTTCTGGTTCGTCCTCGAGGTCTGTGGAGGCGCAAGAAGAGCGAGGTTCAGAGGGGATAGGTTGAGCGGTTAGGGTGAGTTTGATGAAGCCTTTACAAGTGAACTTGAGGGCGTTGCCGAACAGGTTCATGAGGATGCGGCGCAACGCACCGGGCTGGGCGTAGTAAGACCAATTAAGGGTGTGGTCGATATCCAGGTAGATGGCGACGTGGTCATCACCTGGATCGGCACCACGTTGGTTGCACCATCGCTGGAAGGAATAGCCTGCGTAGAGAGACTCGACAACTTCTTCCAGCATGACGTCAAGGTCTACGTCGTAGAACCGGGTTAAGGTCGGTTGCTCCCATGGCCAAGGCTTGCTTGCTAGGCTGCCAGATCGCACCCTGGATCCTCCTGGTGGACCGCTGAAATCCGGGTCTTGATCGTGTTCTAGGTCTTCCGAGTGAAAGGAACCTCGTCGGCCATTGGACAGCTTTGTGTTCTCCACTAGACTGTTGATTTTGGAATGGTCTAGGAGATGGTCGACAGTGTCGAGCAGTGTCCTGATACAAGCCTCGATGAGGTGGATGAGCTCCGTCTGGGAAGTGCTGAGGTCGGTATCAAGCAACAACTCCGCAGCACCGAGAATGCCGTGCAACGGCGAGAGCATCTCGTGCGAAATGGATCCAAGCATGTCTGACTTTGCCTGGTTGGCAAGCGTCGCATCGATTCGGGCCACTTCAGCCATGACATTCTTGCCAAATGCATTGAACAAGCCGAGTTCGTCCTGCGGCGCGATGATGCGCAACGATTGTCTGGTCCATGCCAGCCCGGCGGCGAACCAGCGCTGCATCTGGGTCCCCCACAGGGGAAAGAAGGATACTGCTCGAGCCTCGGGAAATGCCGCGTGGATGATATCGCACTCGCTCTTCCGTGGCTTTCGCATTGATATTCCATCCGTTCTCCGTAGCCGGCCGCGTCGTTGTCTTTTAGCGGCGGCGTCGAACTCCGAGTCAGAGCAAGGACATGAAGGGTTCGCCGATGAGGGTGGAGACGGCATTGGCACGGTTTCGGGAGCGCTGATGAAGTTGCCTGCAGCGTCAAATTCCCAGATGGTCCCCCGCGGATAACGACGCAGTAGCTTGCGGAGGAAGCTCTCTGAGAGAAGGCGCCAGCTGTGTTGAGGCTCAGGATGTCGTATGGGGGCTGTGAGGTCTATGGTTGTGCCGTCGGGTGTCCCAGCTGGAGTCATAGAGAAGCCGAGGATGTCACAGGGCCGTTTGTGCGGTTTAACTTCCAAGTCGATTCCATTATTTGCAACACCATTGACTGCGTCATTGGAGTCGGTGCTTGTTGCTCTGGTAGGCACATCTGATCTCGTGTTTGTATCACTATCCTGCCAATAATGGAAAGGGCTCGTGTTGGCGTCTAGGAAGACCACCCCGGCTGCGTCCATGGATTCTCGAATGATGTTTGATGCCTTTGCGAAACTTTTCTTGATCTCAGACAACCGGACGTCAGCGCCCACGGTTCCCTGGGTTGGCGTGTCCGACGGTTTTGGTTGATCACCGCTGTTGCTGTCACCCACCACCAACCGTGAGTCCAAATTTCTACGGTCTGGAAGGGAGAGCTTTCCGATGTGGTTAGCCTCATACTCGCCGCCGCTTTTTGTTCCATCCATGGCGTCTTTTGATACTGTGATGGGTATCTCCGGAGTTGTTGGGCCGTCGCGGTGCGGGAAGTGAGGTGCACCATGACGATCAAAGGGATATGTGTCGCGTGTATCTCGCCGGCTCGGGTCCACGGGTTCTTTCTCTGCATGGTACTCAGACAGGCTGGAAATGTCGTCCTTTCCCTCCGAATAGCTTACCACTCCTCTCAGGATACGCTCGGTCTGGAGTAATACCGCTTGCTTCCTGTGGGCCTCCAACTGGCGAGAGATTGTCCGAGAAAGATCTTTCATAAAGTCGATACCAACTTCGTCGAGCTTTTGCCGTGGACTTGTGGCAAAAACCGAAAACAAGCCTATGACGATACCGGAGGGCGAGCATATTGGGACGCCTGCGTAGAACCGGGGATAGGGTTCCTGTGGGATGAGGGAATTAATGTGATCGAACCGCTGGTCGGCCAACAGGTCGGGTATCACGAAGACGATGAGGTCCTCGGGATGCCGTTTTTGTTCACGGATGACATCGTCACAGATGATCTCGCTTCTCGGGATGTCGCGTCCGCGCAAGAAGAGAGGGTTGACTTCATCGCAGGCGTAGGGTCGAAGTGGCAGGGTTGGTGTTGCTTCGGCAGCAACGTGTTGGAGATCGTGATCAAAGAGACTCAGAACCGCTCGTTGCGCCGACAGTTGGAGGGCACCGAGCTGGGCAAGTGCCGTTAGGACGGTATCGGATGATGCCCGAAGGCTCTTGCCCGGGGATGGGTGGGCTGGGTCGGGCACGGCACGGCTATCCCGGACTGTCGACAAGAATCTGTAGAGAAGGTTAGCAACCTCAGAATATGAATGCCGCAGAGGAAGGTCGCGCTAGGCAGGCCAGGGAGAATATCC